GTGTTGTATTATCAGGAGATAGGCAACAATTGCCGCATACAATATGCAATATTCTGGGCCAATGCCAAAGCTAGTATTGTAAGCACACTGTGCGTTAGTATGGCCAATGCCGACGCTAACGGGGGCAACACTTGCTCAGCGAGAATTCAGACGTCTCAATACACGAGCATGCAATGAGGATGCACTTGCGAGCGAATGTAGGTGCACTTAGCTCAATGCCGGCCTGACCCACGATCTTTTCTGTTCTCCCTTTCGGGATGGCTTAGAATGGAATGATAGTGAGAGACGTTGGGGTGGGTGGTGGTGATCAGAAACTGGCAATGATTGTCAAGCAATTTGATCGTCAGTGCAGCAAAGCAAAGAGCAAGAAGCAACAGCATGGAGAGCTGGAGTAATGCGCATGCTCCGCGCAGTCCCGTGCCGAAGCGCAGGAGTTCGGAGTGCATGCATGTTATGCATGTACTTCCTTCGCATCATTAAAATTGTCGCATCGCACATTGCAATGTTTGTGACTTGGCTCGTCTTAGTCAGACTGTCGGAATCACTGTTCTCTGTGTTCGAACATTTGTTCGACCTTTTCTGCGCAATGTCTACTTGTAACTGAAGCCGTGGTGGTCTCGGAATTTGTCGGAGCTCTCTTCCGCACGAAGCAAATTCATCGCGCTCCACACTATTCCGCCCCAGAGCGCATTTCGTTTTTCTGGAGCTCGTGCCGTCCCACATCGTTCGCGTGGGCATTTATCAAGACTGCAAGCTCGGGTATAAGAATCCTGGTATCTCTCCTGAATACAAAATGCTGAAGTTGACGATGGCAAGAAGAAAGTGTTCTCAATTACCTAAAATGCACTACTTGTGGCGCCAATAGTATAATTATTATATACTCTTGGTGGCGCATGTTGCTGCCAAGGCAGCAGGTCTGAAAACACCAACAAAATCAGCGAAGCGCTTGCCAAGGAAAGAAGGTCCGGAACTGCTTACCCTATCCCGCTGGAAGGTCGTTACAGTGTACTTGAAAAATGCTAGCTTGCCTTCATCGCCTGCCACCTGGAGGCATGGATCGCTTGAAAACGAAGTTTCTAAGAATCTTGACCTGAATTTGAACGCCCGTCTTGTTCAGCATGTTGTTGAGTGCTGAAGGGTCTGCCTCAAACTCTAATGAACACGTCGACCCTAGCTGCAAGTGCAGTGAAGCGGGAGGCCACCAACTAAAGCATTGTCCATCGACAATGCGCTGCCTCAATTAATTTCTAGCTGATTTCTTTGCCATTCGAGTGGACCAAACAAATTCGAAAAATCGCTCTGGGAAGCGACAATTTTAATGACGCCGAGGAAGTGTTTGCATTATGGCAAGTATGCTGGTGCGTTGCTAACTCCACTTACCGTGCCATGCATGGAAACTTATATTTTATTTATTTCTGCACCTTATAGCATGTCAAGACCGCCAATCGAGTTGAGTAGAGGGTGAGACCAACCACGGAAGGAGAGAAAAAAGAAAATGAAAAGCATGTACACAAAAGGGGAAGGGATTAGCAACTTACAAAGCAATGGGATGCCCTGCGAACCATGGAACGGAAGTGGTGACTGTGATTCTGTTTGCTGGAAGATACTGAAGTGCTGTCTGACGAGGGTACGGAATTTGGGCTTATCTGGAGCTTGTCTAACACTTAGAGGCAGTTGTAGCCATGTGGAGTAGGAGGAAAAGAAAGGGGAATTCACCAATAGCGTAAACCTAGCTAGGGGGAGACGAACGCAGCTTCGGGTGGTACCACCTGACTTAAACCAATTAAGCGACTGTAAATGAGCAGGGTGCTGGTCAAGAAAAATGGCATGTGCGAGGGGGCACCAAGAAGCATCAAGATACTGTTGCAAAGTGGTAGTTGATGCAGCAGCATACACGTCTGGATTTGAGACTTTAAAACGATCTGTACGAAATATTATGCCGCGGAAGTGTACGGAGATCCCTTCTAATTTTTTTAATTGTAGACCAAGCAGGGAAGCCGTACGTGAAGGGGGAAGACTGCATGATTTATGATACTTAGAAGTAGGACACACTTCAGACTCTTGAACATTTTGAAAGTTTTCACTAGTATACTTTCACATCTTATCATCAGGTGATCAACAGGCAAAATCAAATGACATGCGCTTGCGCTGTTTCTACCACCTCTCTGCTGCACGTAATCCGTTGTCCATGTTCATTTGGCCGGCGATCTGCGAAATCACCCTTCGGTGAGATGTAAATTTTCGAGAAAATCGCGATTAAAGATTGATCACTGAAGCGTGACCAAGCGCAAAATCTTACAGGAGGTTGTCTTTGGACAGTCACGATGGCGGAAGGTGGAAGACGGTGATCGGTGGCTCAAACCGTTATAGGCTTCTCGGTGGATGATACTTTTGCCCTCCTGGACCATGGACGATTTCTTATTTTTTTGGGAGCGACATCGAGTGCTCAGATGAGAGTCCTGACGACGAGCCAATTGAGCTCGCTACAGCAGAAGCGCTAGAGAGCGATGCGGAGGAAAATGTTGATGAAGCGGAGCCAGCGCAGGCCGATCAGCCTCTAGCTGCAAGTGGTCCCGGTAAGCGAAAGCGAAAAGGTCAAGCTGCGACTGTGTCAACACTTGAAGACGTTGTCGCTCACGTTGAGAAAGGCTGTGGGTGTCAGGGTGCGAACTGCTTCACCAACGTCGTACCTGACGACATCCTGCGCGTTCGCAACTTGGCGGCGTGCTAGGAGCTAAGCAACGGGAGCTTGTGCTGCTTGCTGGGAAAGCTGGAAGCTCTAGCGAGACGTGGTGAAGTGTCTCATCACGTGGCGGCAGCCCAAGCTGTCGTCAGAGGTCGGATTACGTTTGAGTATCCTTTTGCTGGAACAGCAGTGTGCAAGGCTCTGTTTATTTGTGCACATGACACGACAGAGCATACAATCAAGAGTGTCCAGTTCGGAGAAACCACTCTGGATGACCACACAATTACTGTACTGAAGTCTACTGTTCATGTCGCCGCCTTATTGCCTGCTGGTCCGCCTCCAAGTATCCCGCCAGCAGGATTGCCCAACCAACGTGCAGAATACCTCTACAAGCAGATTCGACAACACTGCCATGAGGAGAATAGAGATATTACCTGCCCAGAGCTAGCAGCAGGTGCTTCACTGCCAGAAGAGCCCTAATTGGACTTGTATCGACATTGTCATGTCAACAGTAGTTATTTTTCTTCTCTCATTGCCTGTAAAATAGCATCACGAAAGCAGAAAACATCAGCAAATATTTGGGCTATTTTCCCAAATTCTGCACTGGAGTGTCCTAGACAAAGCACCTCATATATCCGCAGGGAGCGGTCAGACTGCCCTGAAACTTTGGTATTTGAGTAGCATGGATATGTGGTTGTTTTCCATGAAAAACTCATTTTTGCCAAAAAGTCACCAAAGGGTGATTTTCGTAGATTACTGGCCATTTGATTTTGCCTGTATTTCACCTGATGATAAGATGTGAAAGTATACTAGTGAAAACTTTCAAAATGTTCAAGAGTCTGATGTGTGTCCTACTTCTAAGTATTATTGCATTCTTGTCTCCAAGGAAATTGTAAAATTTAATTGGGCAATTTTGGGGCAAATGGGAGAAGTGACTTTTTATTATGCCGACAGATCGGCATACTCGGGAAGACACATGGTCAGCATGGTAGGACCAGGAGAAGGCGGGATCTATGACAATGCCAAGGTGTTTATGATGGGGCGCTACAGAGATAGGGTGACCAGGATCGTCTGGAAAGTGGAAGATGGGCACTGGATCTGTGGGAAGGCGAAAAGGAGGAGCTCGGTTTCGATCACATTTGTCTTGAGGTACCAAGTGCTCCTCCAACGGACAATGTCGTTGATGCAGGTCTGAACTTTGGGGTACAGAGTGGAGTGAGATGGGGAGGAAGCAAGGACAGTGGTATCATCCGCAATAAAGAAATATCGGGAATTGCATAGGGGAGGTCATTAACGTACGTGAGAAAGAACAGGGGACCTAAAATGGAGCCCTGGGGCACTCCGGACATAACAGACTCGGGGTCAGATAAAGTTCCATTCACTGTGATGCGCTGATTTCAGTCGAAGAGATGACTAGTTATCCAGGCGAGTAAGTACCCAGAGACACCGTGAGCACGAAGTTTGGCGATGAGGCCCTTGTGCGACATGGTGTCAAAGGCCTTGAGGCAAAACAAAACAGATGCAGGAGACCTGCCACTGGTCTTCAGTTTAGAGAGCAGAGGCCTTGAATTATGCGACGGAGGCCAGATTGTGCGGGGTGAAGAAGAGGGGAGATATGGTCATACAAACAGTTGTACACTATTCCCCCTAGCAGTTTGGAGACACAGGACAGGAGGGAGATTGGTCGGTAATTAGACGGGCTGTTCTTGTCGCCTTTATTATTGTACACTGGAGTGACAGTGGCTGACTTCCATCGTGAAGGGAATGTGCCAGAGGAGAGGGAAAGATTAAAAAAATGGAGAGTGGGCGGGCAATTGAGTACCTCAGTTTCCTGAGGATCTCATTAGTGATCCTATCAGCTCTGTGGGATTTGTTCAGAGGCAGCCTTGCTATAATATACTTGTGAACAGTCGAGGAGGTGATGATCGGGGAGTGCAATGTAGTTGCTGGTGTAGCTAGGGAGGAAATAGTGGGAATAGGAGCATCAGGGTCAACCTGTACGCCGGCACTGACGAAGTGGCGGTTCAGTAAGTTTACCAATGGTTGCCGGAGAGATGCTTGTTTGACCATTGGGGCCCACCATCTTCGAGGGATGAACCGGGCGCTGGTAGGGTTTCGTAGTTGACGAACGAGCACAGGGAGGGATGGGATACAGGGGTTTGTGGGAGATATTGTGGCACGGAGATTGAGGATGTAGTAGCTATGGCAGGATCTGGAAAGGCATTTTACATACTTGGTCCGTTTCATCGCAATTGTCGCTTATCTCCCACGCACCTTTTGCCAGGTAAAACCCAGTCCGATCTCGATATCTAACTCACATTCGTTTGGGAGGTTGTGATGGAAAGATCAAAGGAGACCAGAAAGAAAAAAACCATCACGACTAGCGCCAGTGGCATCGCGATTCGTACGATTGTGATGGGAAAGTGGGGAACTTTTCGCTGCAGTGAATGCACACATTCACTGCAGCGAAAAACCAAGCACAGCTCAAAAACCGGAACTGTAGCAGGGGAAATCGACATCCTGATCTGGAGAGCGTGACATGACAGTCACGGCCAGGCCAGCCAGCTCAGTCGCCACGTTTGAACTGCAAGTGCAACGACCTGGCATTCTTGCAAGCCTGCAAACAGGCTGATGGCGAGATGGTGGCAAAGAAGACATTGTCCGACCTGGCAGCGGCAGTACAAGAGTCGTGGTCAGCGTATCCAGCAGAGCGTATGACAGCTGTCTGGAGAGGGATGTGTGCCTGATTCAAAAACATTGTTGAAACACACAGTGGTGAATGGTGACACAAGGGTCACGCTGCCCACGTTCCTCCGAGTGCCAAAGTGACAGCCACGACTGTTCCTTTCCCATCGCTGCCATACGCCAAGCGAAGAAAGCAAGAGATAGTCAGATACTCTACGCCAGTAGCTATACACACCAGCGAATGTCAGCTCAAGTGACATCAGCTCGAGCGATACAGAGCCAGAGTCGGATAAACTAAAGCGTGAGTGCAAGAACGCGCTCCGTCGCTGTTTCTTTTGTACAATTTTTGTAACCTTGCTTCCTTTCTTCGACTTGCTTCATCCGATTCCATCGCTGAATTATTTTTCTTGTGGCGGACAGGAATCCTGTGTCATGCTTCTTCACTATACGTATTGGAAAATTTTACAGAGCGATAAAATAACTCCTGTTCTTAGTTGCGATGGATAAGCGACAATTGCGATGAAACGGACAAAGTAGTTTTTGTATTTTGTATTTATATCATTATCTCATGGCACATCATGATGACGGCCAGTAAAACTGAGACAAGGGTGAAAGCCAACCACAGCAGTAAAACAGATAAAAGAATACAAATAAAAGGCAAAGCAGGCAAAGGAGGAGACAAACCAGCAGGATATACATGAAACCTATAATTGAGCAGAGATTTTAGCAACACAATTATCCATCGACGTGCTGGTCTTGGCCTGCGTTGGTAATGTTGCCCAAAACACATAGCCAGCAAAGATCGGGGATCTAGTGAATAGGGTGGAGGCAGCGCGTGGGAGACTGAGTGAGTTCCGGGTATTCCGTGTTTCGGAGAACCAATTATAAGCCTGCATATGCAAGGGTATTTTATTTAGTAATATTTTATGTATGAGAACACAGAGGTGGTACTTATGTCGAGTGGAAAGGGGACTGATCTTGGCAATTTCGTAAAGACTAGCGGAGGGAAAGCGACGATCTTTGCTAAATAAGATTTTAAGGAGCATGCGGTTATGGGTTTCTAGCTTGTTCAATACAGTAGTAGTTATGCCAGACCAAGCAGTATCACAGTAGTCAAGTAAGGGCAATATATAGCAACGATAAAACAAGCGTTTGCAAGAAAGAGGAAGATGTCTACAGTGGGCTTGAAGAGCCCCAAGGATGGAGCTTGTGCGCTTGCAGACATACTGCACATGGGGTGACCACGACAATTTAGAGTCAATAATAACGCCAAGATGCTTATGCTCTTCAACAATACGAATAGCAACACTTGAAGAAGGAAAACAAAGTGGCAGGGAAGGGGGAGACGGGGAAATGTACATAGCTGCCGTTTTATCAACATTTGGCTGCAACTTCCAATCATGCATCCAGGTTATAACTTTCCCAATGCTATCTTGCATGGCTTCGTGCAGTCGTATAGGGCAAGCATTGGAGCAAAGCAGAGCTGTGTCGTCAGCGAAAAGGCTGACACCAGGGGCAATATCGGGGAGGTCATTAATATACAGGAGAAATAGCAGTGGCCCAAGGATTGAACCCTGGGGGACAGTTACGTTGGTGTTTGTATTTGTTGACATTTGTTGGGGATGGGTATTTCCTGTAGATGTTGGAGAGATCACTCTTGACGTTAATAGCTGCTTTCAGCGATGCAGTCATCCAGCGGCAGGGATTGCGGTGTGATGTCCGACGGAGAGGAGGAAGATGTTGAATGTGGTTGAGTTGGTTAGGGATGTTGCTTGCGATAAGGTCTAGGCAGCTGCCAAGTCCAGACGAGCGGAGGAGAACTCCTCCGTATCCCCTGTGTGGGTCACGGTTTTGTCTATTTTCTAAAACAGGTCGGTCACGACGGAAGCATTCAGAGTGTGGCACGTGGAAAGCTTGTGTGGGAGTTAGCCAGGTCTCTTTAATGCCTAGTACACTGAGTTTGTGATCCTCACAGATTTTAATGAGTTCGCCCGACTCGTTTGCTGTGGAGCGAGCATTAAGGGCACTGATTGTAAGTCGGTGAGGAGCAACATGTATAGAATGGGGAAGAAAGGTGGGGCAAGAGCGTTGAGAGGCGCAGGGGTGAAGTGGACGAGGAGGGAGAGAGGTTACTCATTGGAAGCTAGCTTCGTCACTTTGGGGCTGTCCGCAAAACGCCACGTGCGTACTGAGTGGCTGATGGCTTCGGGCCAGAAGGCTCTGTCTAGTACATGCTCTTCATGTTCCACAGCCACAGTGACTCAGGCATGCGAGGTGCCAAGGTATTTCGACTCCATGACGGAGCAATGTATTACCTCGACGTCCCTCGTTTCGCACCAGTCTCTGATGGAATGAGCAACCACTGTTGATGCTTCCAACTTGCGAACCCTGCAGACTGATAAACTTCCCTTGATAGAAAGCACGGAAAATAAGGTTTTATAATAATTATTTTATTTCGTCCTCGCTCGTTGTGTGTTGGTGTTCGGTATTCCGACACCCTCAGCAATTCAGTAGCATTCTCAGTGCCCCACGGATACAGCTGTGTTAAAGAAATCTGACTGTACGGGTATTTGTGATACTCATGATCTGTGTCATATGCGTACATGCTTGGTATTGTCCTTGCAGCTGGTGTCAGTTCAAAGTTCATTGTTCTCCAGACTATTATGGATGTTAACTTGGCGAACTCACATCTTGCCACTGAAATACTTGAATACAATGCCAGAAGAGGCAAGTTTGAAGAGGTAGCTAAAACTGAACATTCACCACCAATATTTGCTGAGACAATGCCTGTACTGGTGCCCGTCAACAAGGAGGTGTTCCATGTTGCAAAGATGCTGGCAACCTCACCTAGTCACAAGCTGTGCGTGAACTTTGACGTCTCAGAATACAAAGATGGTAAGAGACTATTATCGTGCCTGATACAAACATGAAGCTATTTTCATCTACTCACCTACTAACATGGAGCTGTTTTCATCTACTCACCTACTAACATGAAGCTGTTTTCATCTACTCACCTACTAACATGAAGCTGTTTTCATCTACTCACCTCCTAATATGGAGGTGTTTTCCATATACCGTATTTTCTGGAGTATAAGTTGCACCGGAGTATCAGGCTGCGTTTACACGACAACGCTGGGGGTGAAAACACAAGAAAATCCTTTCAGATGCATGGTTCATTTACACGGTACGAAGAGCAAAATGTAAACGTTGTACACCAAAACGGAAGGAAACCAAAAACGCTGGCCAAGGTGGAAGAATTTGAAAACGGAAATGTTCTGCCGGATAGATTTGGGTGTGTAAACAGTCGAAACGGTATGCTGGACTCGTTTTCCGTCCCGTGTGTTTCGTTTTCGGCCATTTACACGGATCCGACAATCAAAAAAATTGTTTTTATAATTTTCGACATGTGACGAGTGTTGTTTTGTGGCCTGTTCTCAACTATTGCTTGAGTGTGATTGGTGCTTCCACGACAACACTTGCACATGACGAACTTTTGCGGATCCTTTGCTCCCGTGTAGACGCGCGAAAACGATACAAACGGAGACCACCTCGGATCAGCTTTGATCGTGTAAACGCACGAAAGCGAAAAAAGAAATGCGGGACTGAAAACGGAAAACTGGCCGTGCATTGTCGTGTAAACGCAGCCTAAGCCGCACCAATTTATTTAGGTGATTTTTGGTGTTTACTGTTTAAAGTGCAGCTTTTACTCCGGAGAATATGATACTCACCTATACGAACATGAATCTGCCGGTTTCCGCACCTCAGTTACACTAGTACATGACTGGAGTAGAAATACGTATGTGTAGCTTTGGACTTTTCTGCATGGCTATCTGCCACGTTGACTTTCAAGATTGCATCATGTTGGTCAAGATTGCATCATGCTTGGTGAAGATGAGCAGCGTGAAGTGCATGGTGCATGCAGCTGAGCCATAGCGTGTAGAATGACCTGCTTGAATCCTGCCCCTCTGCTCATTATATGACTAAGGGGTCGTCGAAAAAGTTTTCTGTCGTCCATCGTTCGTTTCGTACTTGGACCCCCTCCCCTCCCTCTGAAACGAACACAGCTTGTTATGCGGGATGACGGAAACTGCATGCATGTACATGTCATCTGTACAGTGTTGGTCGACTTGCGATTTTGGCTCGCACCCCCTCACCCCCCTCCCCCCCCCCCCCAAACGAATCATGTTCGTTTTAGGAACGACAAAAAAACTTTTGCGACGACCCCTATAATGATTATAATGATGCAATCCAAGAATTTTGCTTCCAGTTTGACTTTCACATTCTTGGTTTCATGCACTCTTTAGGTAATATCCCTGTGCAATAATAAATGAAAACCATTCATGAGCCTGAAGTGTGTCCTTTTTATGAGTATTATCGCATTTTTGTCTCAGAGGAAACTGAAAACCATTGAACTGTGACTTGAGAGTATGCTTGGCAGTGATCTCCAGAAACCATTCAACTGTGACTTGAGAGTATGCTTGGCAGTGATCTCCAGAAACCATTCAACTGTGACTTGAGAGTATGCTTCGCAGTGATCTCCAGAAACCAGAAGTATTTTAAAAGCATGCCGGAAGTTGACACTCTTGCTCTGAACTTGCAATCGTCCCAGTCCCCTAGGTCTTGAGTGTGTTCCTTTCATGCTAACTCATTCCGCACCAAGCTGTCTAATGGCAATACGTTGGACTCTACATTTTGCATTTGATTTGTGTGTTTTGGTGAATCCCAGATGAATTTGTGCCCTATCAGCCTGATGGTATTCAGGAAGACATCATAATCTTTACTCCTGGTCAGTCAGAAATTACAATCGATCTGGTGATGCCCGACATAGCGGACCATCTGCAAGGCCGATTTGACACTTGGCAATTGGTTTATCGTGAAGTAAGGCAATTATTATATTATTATATTGTGTTCTGTTCCATTCTTATTCTGTTTGTTTACCCCTTACATTGTCTGTCTCTCCGTCCTCTAACAATGTGATAAATAGAACAAATGATGCCACGATAGAGTGCTCGATGCCCACGGGAGCAGAGCTGTAGATAGAGTGCTCGATGTCCACGGGAGCAGAGCTGTATCACACGAGTCATCGAGTACCTCATGTGGTACTTTATATGACTGAAGAAAGAGCAATGTGGTGGGGATAGTCCCTAATTGGATGGGAATCGACAACCTGACCCATATTTGCAATAGAGAGAATGTGATAATGTTATGCATTCAAAAGAACATGTAACATATTTCACACTCTTTCCTTGGCTCTCACAGCAAATGTGCATTTTCTTATGTTCAATCTCCGGACAGCTAGTTGTTTCGATCTTGTTAGATCTCGTCCGCGGAGCTCAGAGTTCCTGTTGAAACCGATCGCAATGAAGTGTTAGGCCGCGCTCACACCGAGCCCGATTCAGCCGTTCAGCCAAAAAGCGCTTTTTCGGCTGAGGTTTCCACGGAAAAGGCTGAAAATCGGGGCACCAGCCACTTTCAGCTTTCAGCCCTTTTGGAAGCGCTGAAAAGCTGAAAGTGGTTGAGTAATTTTGGCTGAAGTGCAAGAGTGCAAGAGGAGTTGAAGAGCTGACGTTTGTTGTAGTCAGGTAGTTTCTTCTTCTCTTGTATTGTAGTTGTGTGAAGTGTTTGAAGGTTTTCGTTGTCAGCCATGGATAGTTGGAGCGTGGGACTGGAGCGCCGATTGCTCGAGCTGTGGTACGAAGCAAAAACGCGATATCAGACGACAATGAAAAAGGATACGAGCAAATGAGCCTGGATCTTCGCAGAACTGAAAAAGTTTGCTGCGAATGAAGCCGGGGCCGGGGGCACTGTGCCGGCTTGGCTGGAGGCCCTGGACGACAAGAAGATCAAAAATAAAATTGAGTATATGGTGGCCCAGTGCTGGATAACGTCATCGTTCCAGGCACCGGGACTGCGAAGGGCGCACCAAAAACGCCGTTTTCTCCTGCCAAACATTGTCAAGGGCAAGATTGCCAGCAGATCCTCCTCAGTATCGGCTTCATCAACAAAGTCGAAATGTGTCGCTTCCTCCGGCGACAAAGCCTGGTATTTGTCACCATCGGCAAAGTGAGGTGATTCTCAGGGGAAATTATTCGGATCATCACCATTGTACATAATAGAATACAGATAGCGATGCGGCTCTTCGTTTCCGAATCCATTCTCAATCCACTGTGACAAATCGCTCTTCTCTCTCTCTACTCCTCTCTCTTTCTATCTCTTTTCCAGATCCCTACTTCTACTTCCATCCACGACGAGGCCTACGTGGGGATTCAAAATTAGGACGTAGTGTATACGCAAATCACGTATACTGGGCACAGGGGTCAACCTCCAAATAAAGAAAACCCGGGAAAACCCGCGTCAGCCAGTTTTGGTGTGACCGCCAGCTGGCTAGTCGCAATCCACTTTCAGCGCAAGCCAAAACGGCTGAACTTGGTGAGACCGCGGCCTAGCTTGGTGAGACCGCGGCCTAGCTTGGTGAGACCGCGGCCTAGCTTGGTGAGACCGCGGCCTTAGACAAGACAAAGGATTTTTTAAACCGGCTCAAAGGATTATCGGACGGAGTGCTCTGTGCTCTGTGCTCTGTGCTCTAACTGCCATAAACACAGTGAGTTTTGAATGAGGGCAGATAACTTTGACGCTGGGGTGGGGGGGGGGGGGGGTGTGGTATTGTTGTGACAGTCAGGTTTACTTTCCACTTCGACTGGTTTTCTTGCTTGTCCTGTCACCATTTAGTCATGGGTTCTAACACATGAACGCCACAAGAAAGAAAGTTCGTAAAACCATTGTAATGATGTTTGAATCATGTTTCTGTTTGTATGCAATAAACGAGAAAACTATTTGAACGGTGCCCTACTTGTTTTGGATTATGATGATGATGGGCTGGTGAAGTGGAGAGTTTCATTCTGCTGTTTGTCTGTTTTAATACCTGCAGGCTTTACCAATGGCACAGGAGGGGACATTAAATCTGACTATAAACACGACTGACTTGATCAGAGTGGAGAGTATATCACCCGGTGTATACACCTATACACTCAAACTGATAAACAGTGTAACTGGCCATGAAGCCCTGGCTGGTCAATGTGGAGTCTATGGTAAGTGTCTGCTGCTAGTTCTCTGCTGCTAGTTCTCTGCTGCTAGTTCTCTGTGGAAAAATAATGCTCTCAGCAGCCCCTCCCCCCCCCCCCCCCCACCCTTCCCACACGTCTTTCTGTAATTCATTTATCCACAGCAGTGGTAGCATGGTAGTGAAATAACATTGTTGAGACAATTTCCCCTGGTGATAATCTCAATAAAATCAATAAGGAATTTCTTTTCTAAGCACTCGCAGACTCCATTGCAGTCACTCACACATTACAGGGTACCTCACTTCAAACTCTCCAACTATGGCCCGAAAATTTGGTGCATTCCATTGGTATCTAATATTATTATTATTTTTTGGAAGTGAAGTGAACTTATGCAGCGAAGAGACCGTAGTTGGAGAGTTTGAAGTGAGGTACCCTGTAAGGAATTTCTTCATCCATATTAAATAAAAGGGTTTTTTCAACTGGCAATCGCTCTATTCAGTTGCTAATCACTCCTGGCGCGTGCGCTGGATGAAAAATTCTCTTATTAGTGATGTTGAAATATTATTGACGTTTCGGGCCAGTCACCCATCGTCAGAACAATTTACAAGGGGCGAACCTGGCCTTTTATAACGAAAGCAAGCGAGAGCGTATGTATGCCCATGTACAAAACAAACACAATTAGTCAAGCGCTCGGGGTTCCCGGTTAATGTGGTGTCTGAACATACTCCCAACCTCAAAGATGCCCTCGTGAAGTCAGCGCTGAATCCAACGAAGTGCAGCGTCACACAAGAACGAGTGAGGCGCTGAGAACAGCGGAGGCGAGGAAGACCGCTCAACCCCTGCATCTCATGCTCCTCTGGTTTGCCGAGCTGCATGTGCGATTCTCCCGGCACTATCTACATAATGAAGTGTGCACTTTGTCGGAAGTGGTATGTCGGTGAGACCTTCAGGGATGCAAGAGACTGTTTCGAGGAACACCACTATGAAGCACGTCACAGGATGCTCGACAAACCATGGGGTAAACACATGGGTACTGATCACCAGCAGCACGGAACCATCAAGAGCACAGATGTGATTTTCTTTGAGGCCCGAGTACTGGCTGTGGAGACACGGACGGCCAGAATACAAATCAGGGAGTCCATCGAGATTCGAGAGCGTCGTCCGAGATCAATAGAGTGTTTTAGCTAATTGTAAACGAGTACGAGTCCGTGGTCGACTCAAGTGACTAACGCCTGGGTTTGAGTCTCGTTTTCCGCCGCAATCTGGCCCTTCTGGACTTGTTCTGTACGAATCAGAGGCAGTTTATTCATTCTGGCATACAAGTCCTAGCTGGCTAGAGATCCATTGTTTTGATTTTATTTAACAATCTACGAACGGCGTGGAGATTTTATTCAAAAAGAGTTTGATTTGAGAAGAGGGAAGCTTCAACTTGAAGTTCAAACCATTACTCTTTTCTTTCTTTTGCTGGTGGATGATTTCGAGGCTCTTGTCCACCTTCTGACTTACGGCGAGATCATTGATGAGGAGGAAATACCGGTAGTCTTGCTTTTCCTTCGCACTAGATGAGGAAAGCTCGTGGTGCGCATGATTTGGAGACACTTCCTCGGCTTGGTTAAGACAAGCTCAGCCGCGACGCCAAACTATTTTGATTTCCTCTGTGAGTAAGTGTCGCTCGTAACACGCTCTGGACAAGATCCGAACTACTGCCAGCATGCATTTTAGCGCACAGACCGTTGCCGTGCAAGTGCTAGAGCTAGCGCTTATCGACTATGAACGAGTTGCTAAAACTAAACGCAATGGGTAACGTGTCACTCGTTTTTGCTCTCGTTCACGAGTCGCTAAACCTCCCTAATATCTCCTTCGGATGGCCATTGAAGGCTCTAGCACCCTCACAGTGAAACTGCTAAATCTAGCTGTGTCTGTACAGGGTTGTACACACAATGATTGCGGTGTACACCTTCGTATACATATTTCCTGTGCTTTAGCTGCTGAGTTCTTGCATACCCACTCTTTCGGCGCACTTTTCCTTGTCTGTTGTACATGCGAATTCATAGTATTTTATACACTCAATTTCATACGACTATTGTGTGTTTCGTTTGTTTTGTACATGAACATACATACGCTCTCGCTTGCTTTCCTTATAAAAGGCCAGGTTTGCCCCTTGTAAATTGTTCTGACTGGCCCAAAACATCAATAATATTTCGACATCCCTCGTTAAAGAATTTTTCATCCAGCGCATGCGCCAGGAGTGAATGGCAACTGAATAAAGGGGTGGTCAGTTGACAAACCCCCTTTTATTTACAATGCAGTTGCGTGATGTCCACCACTTTCTGAACATAATAATTATATTAACAATGGATAATAATAAATTCCGCGGTCATCCCACACAACAACAAAATCTCGGAAGAGTTTTTTTCCCAAATCAATTTTGGGACTTCGCTGTGGTGTGGGATGACCGCAGAACTGATATTATTCATCGCTTTCGTTAAACTGTTGTCTCCGCGTGGCTTATTCATAATAATTATATCACCGTATTGTCCCTGATAAACATACACATCTTTAGGCCCTCTTCAGACTAGGTACAAAACAGCCTATAAGTCACATTTACATAGAAGGTTCCAAGACAACAGAAAGAATCTGGCGGGAAGCCTAAAAAAACTGCCCAATCCTTTCAGGCAGGGTGTCAACCCTTGTACAAGGCAACTTTCCTGCATTTACCATACTTTTACCAGGCAGTCGTACAAACTTTGTACCCGGGTACGACTGCCCGCTGCTTTCACACATCCCAGACCCCTTGCGCAATTTTGTAGGGTCAAAGGTTGCCTGTATATTGCATGTAAAATGTGTAGTCTGAATGCAGGCATGGAAATGTTGCCTTTTAGGTTTTATGTGATTTTGTACTGGATGTTCTTTGTACGTAGTCTGATGAGGGCCCTAATACTAGGACGTCTCCAATTGTAGTACATGTTGAGCGTGGATCGAAAATATAAAAGGACCCGTCTATAATAGTAGTACATGCCATAATGATGTGATGGGCAGTATAGGGTATATAAGGACCCGTCTATAATAGTACTTGGTCCGCGTCAGCGATGTTGTCGCTTATCTTTAAGCTTTATTGATATGTCGCCAATGCTTACTTGGCAGGCCATTTCATCCCAATTTTGGTTAGTAAGTTAGTTTACTAGTACCTGAAAGGTCTAGCTAGAGTTCGAGTGGATTTCGAGAGCGACAGGTAGGTGATTCTGATTGATACAGCACCGCATCATAGATTATCTTGTTACGCTGTGCAGGCAAGAGCAGTGCAAGCCACAAGAAAGTAATCGGTTACTCGGAATCAGCTCCAATTTGCTGAACGGCCGAGATCGCTCACCCCATGGATCGCTCGTCAAGCTGAGATCGCAACTCCCTTACCTCCAGCTCAACGCTCGGAGTATCCAGCGCGTCGTGGAGATTTGCAAGTACTGTACGCGTCGTCGTCGTTCAAAATAAAATCTTGCAAGTACTGTACGCGTCGTCGTCATTCAAAATAAAATCTTGCAAAGAACGGCGTCTGATTCAAACCACACAGGCTGTCGTGCCGCCCACGCGAAGTCCTATAGAGAAGGCGACCGTCACGATCTACTTCTCTTTAGAAAATAGCCAGGCAGCGGAGAGGAAGAGAGATGAGCTTGCAAAAGCAAGAGAGTCTATCCCGAGCAAAAATATTTGTCACCAGCGCCGAGAGCAGCAACGAGGAGGACCGAAAAAAGTAGGAACCCTTCCTTGGACAATAAATTCCTCACAGCTAGTTGTCATTCTATACCTTACCGTCTATCGTACCAAGTTTTATCACTTCAAGTGCATGCATTCATGTCCAAAGGCTAAGTTCGAATTGTCAAAAGATAAGCGACAATATTGCTGATGCGGACCAAGTAGTATATGCCATAATGATGTGATGGGCAGTATAGGGTATATAAGGACCCGTCTATAATAGTGGTACATGCCATAATGATGTGATGGGCAGTATACGGGTATACAATGTCATGTATCTTGATCCACTTTACTTTTGTTTTTTTACCCATCAATCATCTTTGTGCCGTTCTGTCCTGCTTGGTACCTTAGCTGGGGGGCGTTTTCAGGCATCTACAGCTGAAAAGTATCATTATCATAAGTTAAAAGTACGGTCTCCAATACTAGTACAGTCCCGTTTAGTAATATAGTGCTGGCCACCTTTGAAAAAATAAAAGAACTCTACTTTTTTGGGGATACTCATGATATGGTATTTTGTTATTTCAAAGTTCAATGTCCACTTCGTTCATACTTTTCAGTTTTCACCACACTAATAAAACTCTTGTCTCCGCATTGCCTGATCCATGAAGAAACGTTCGTCATGATAGATGTATGTACGGTCAACTTCGCTAAAAATGACTGCGGATATAACTAGTGTTGAAACGATCTCACCGGATACTCGTTAGCTCGCTCGCCAGAAACTCGGCTCGTTTGTGCGGCCAGCTCGTTTGCACTAACGAACACCGTACACCGCACTCCGTACACATGGCAGTACATGTCGACTGGGGAGTCGTAAAATATTTTACGACTCCCTGGTCGATCGAGAGTCCTGTCCCGAGCAAACAGCAAAGTGAAAATCACTCGCAGTTACGGTGACTGCACGACACTTGAGTTGTTTCAGTTGTCGTTGCAGCTTTGGTGGACTCTACTGATGTCTTGTTCCGCATCTGCTGACCTGTCGCAGGATATGCTTCGCCGTTCGGTCACCTCTCCATTCGAGTGAAAGTTACGCTCAGTCGTTTGGAAGTTTTCTCCCGCGATGCAGCGAAGACCAGGGCTACTTGCAATCTTTGCAAAATGGTCTATTCTTACAAAGGCTACTCAACGACGGCGCTGAAAAGACATATCGACACCAATCAGAAAGTCCGAAGTGAAGCAGCAGCAATCCCAAATGCCGGGGGTGATGATTTGTACCAGCTGAAAAAAATCTACTTCGAAGTAACTTAGAAAAAAAAACATTCAAAAAAACATATTTGCCACATCAATGAAACTCGTTAGCTCGCTCGATAGCTTGCTCGTTAGTGGAACCGATCGCTCGTTTGTTATAGATACGCTCGTTTCAACACTAGATATAACAACAATTCGCGATTAACCACAGAATTTCCATGCCCACAGCAAAGTCACATCTAAGTGTAATACATGTAATGAGACTTCGGGTATAAGGACACTTTGCGAGTAAGGACACGTTTCTGATGCCCCGCCGAGTGTTGTGTCCCGCCGAGTGTTGTGTCCCGCCGAGTGTTGTGTCCCGCCGAGTGTCGTTATACGCAAAGTTGACTATGTATCATGGTGTGTGTACATGTATCATGTGTTGTATGTATATAATAAAAAAATAAAAAATATATTCGACGGGTTCGCGTAACGGGCAGGTCAAGAACAAGGAGTCGTACAACTCCCTGGTCAAGAACCACCTTTCCGCTTCCGTGGGACGCCACCACCCCATGATCAGGCGTCAGATGCGGCTCCTAAACGGTGGGGGAGGATAGATCAGATCCACCAACCAAAGGCCAAAGGCCTCAATCCCATTTGCCACATCCATGTATTACTCATGCCAGGCCACGAGTTCCCAATTAACTGTGGGTCGCAGCACGGTTGGAAAAATCCTTCCGCTTCCAAGCAAGACTTGAACCTGGTACCTCTCGTTTCTCAATCATGGTCTTAGACCAACCCACTGTGCCTGCCTGTTGTATGTATATACACATGTATTATGTTGTGTGTATGTATATATACATGATTGTATTATGTTGTGTGTATGTATATACTTCCTCCGTTAACAAAAACTTCGTGATGGATTTTGATGGATATGGAAACGCTTAGAACAGGTCAAGAACAGTTTGTATCGACTGTAAATCACTAGACGAAGGTGAATCGGCCTATGTACAGCGTCTTTACAAGAGAAACTGTTGGCGGAAAGAGCAGAGAGTTCAGTTTGCATCGCTTTCGCTCGACTCATTTTGACCTGCGTCGCTGTCGTCATCTGCTGCACGCGAGTCGTCATCTGCTGCACGCGAGTCGTCATTTCTCTCGAGTCGTTGTTCAGCTCGTTTCAGCCTTGCCTCGGCTTCTTTGATCACACTCCGCTGACCTTGATGTCGCCGTCGTTCAAGTTAGTTGGCTTTCAAGCTGCGTGATCCGCCGCGATGGTGATTACTCGTTTCCACGAGGGAGTCGTGAAAAATATTTTACGACTCCCTGGTTTCATCTTCGCTCTCCAGAACTCCGCGAAACGAGGAGTAAAGGCACAGCCAAACTGATTCCATTTTCGCTAATGGATACCCCTGCCAGCACTGAACGGTACCGGCTAGCAAGTCCAGTCGACTTTCTTTAGCCATGAGACTCGCATCGGACTGCAGACTTCTGAAAGAATGCATGGTCATCAGCATTCGAATTTGGGCTTTGCGCAGTTTGAACAAGAGCTTGAGTTCAGAATTAGTTTTCATTGAGCCGTGCGATCGGAGCAGCTCCTTGTTCACTCGCTCATTATGTGGGCTCGCTGCTCCGTTTTATCGCTCTCTATCGCTCTCCAACTCACTTAGTGCCAAAGTGGTAGAGAGGCCAAGCAGCGCAATATCACCTCGGAGAAGTGGTATTTCAGTTTCGCTCGCCATGACTGTCATCACCTACGTTTCCACAGCGCAACCATCAATTCCGCTCGACTTGTTGTGAAAGGTCGATTTCCTTGCATCGTACTTCTTTCATGGCATGCCAGGGAAGGCCAAGAAAGTGATTGCGACTCATTGCACGGCAGTTTGTGCCCAAATCAGCCCCTCAAAAATCCATCACGGAGTTTTGTTAACGGAGGAAGTATACATGTATTATGTTGTGTGTATGTATATATACATTTATGCTGACCTTTCATACAAACTTCCAGTCAACTTGCCCATCATGCTGGCGGCTTATACTGGGCATATAAGCCTCATACCTCATACAAACCCCATACAAACCCCATATAGATGGCCACCATAGAAACAGGAAGAAGTTGACTGTCAGTTTGTATGAAGGTCAGCATACGTATAATACGTCCCACTAGTTTGCTTGTACGTGAAATATAAACCATCATACAAACCTCGGCTTCGCCTCGGTTTGTATGTCGGTTTATATTTCACGTACAAGCGTACTGCTGGGTTGTATTATATACATGTATCATGTGTTGTATGTATATAGACATGTACATGTATTATGTGTTGTATGTATATAGACATGTACATGTATTATGTGTTGTATGTATATAGACATGTACATGTATTATGTGTTGTATGTATATAGACATGTACATGTATTATGTGTTGTATGTATATACATGTATTATGTGTTGTGTGTATATACTCCCTGTATTTTCCATGGCACAAGGTTCATTTCCTGGAATGAGAGGATTTTTGGGCTGCCCAGAGACCTTTTAGGAGCATTGTTGCGACCCAGTAATGAAGAGAATGCATCGTAATGCATGAGATTACTTTTAGTCTCTGCCATTGCCAGTGAAAAAGGGTTGCAACCAGCCTCAAACTGAAGGGAAGGTGGTGGGTCAGCCTGTATCTGGTAAATCAAGGGGTATCTCGAAAATAGGTTAACATAATATTATCTACTGCTCTTTTCTATACGACACCCTGTTATAGATATCCACATCACTCCGCCAGCTATATATGGAGTACAGTCCGTCACCTATAGCCCTGCATGGACCGAGAAATGGAGAAAAGCAGCTTGAAAAACAATATATGGTGCTGTTTGACTACACATTCCATTTCCCAATGTTTGCCATTGTTCCAATACCCTTGTCTTCATTGTTCAGAGCTAAAGGAAACGACCTATGACTGCCCTGCGAACGTCAGCGAAGGTTTGGATTTTCATCTTTATCGCTGGTCTGATTTTGACGAGCATTGGTACCCCATGATGGAGTGGCGAGATCATACTTGTTTGGATGGAAAGGCTGTACTCACTCTCCCGCAAGGAAACGCATTTTCAATGATCATTCGTGGCTCCCAGACAGATCGCATCTACACCCAGCTTTTTGATCCAGAGACAGGTGAGTAATTACTATGGGGTCTCGTACCCATCTTGCATTTGCAGTGTAGCCGGCAGAAGACACCACAAATGCACGGATATGGCTTAGGCCTCGGTCACACTGCGTCCAAAATGTTGCATAAGGGTCCGAATCATGAGTTTTTCCATGGCAACAGACCAAAACGCGGGAAAGTTGAACGTCAGTCGCAGCAGCGTCTGATGTGAGCAAATCGGCTGCGTTGAAGCTGCTGCTGCATGCACCTGCATGAAAAACAGTGTCTTTTGAAAAACAGTGTCTTTTGAAAAACAGTGTCTTTTGAAAAACAGTGTCTTTTGAAAAACAGTGTCTTTTGAAAAACAGTGTCTTTTGAAAAACAGTGTCTTTTGAAAAACAGTGTCTTTTGAAAAACAGTGTCTTTTGAAAAACAGTGTCTTTTGAAAAACAGTGTCTTTTGAAAAACAGTGTCTTTTGAAAAACAGTGTCTTTTGAAAAACAGTGTCTTTTGAAAAACAGTGTCTTTTGAAAAACAGTGTCTTTTGAAAAACAGTGTCTTTTGAAAAACAGTGTCTTTTGAAAAACAGTGTCTTTTGAAAAACAGTGTCTTTTGAAAAACAGTGTCTTTTGAAAAACAGTGTCTTTTGAAAAACAGTGTCTTTTGAAAAACAGTGTCTTTTGAAAAACAGTGTCTTTTGAAAAACAGTGTCTTTTGAAAAACAGTGTCTTTTGAAAAGTAGTGTCTTTTGAAAAACAGTGTCTTTGGAAAAACAGTGTCTTTGGAAAAACAGTGTCTTTGGAAAAACAGTGTCTTTGGAAAAACAGTGTCTTTGGAAAAACAGTGTCTTTGGAAAAACAGTGTCTTTGGAAAAACAGTGTCTTTGGAAAAACAGTGTCTTTTGAAAAACAGTGTCTTTTGAAAAACAGTGTCTTTTGAAAAACAGTGTCTTTTGAAAAACAGTGTCTTTTGAAAAACAGTGTCTTTTGAAAAACAGTGTCTTTTGAAAAACAGTGTCTTTTGAAAAACAGTGTCTTTTGAAAAACAGTGTCTTTTGAAAAACAGTGTCTTTTGAAAAACAGTGTCTTTTGAAAAACAGTGTCTTTTGAAAAACAGTGTCTTTTGAAAAACAGTGTCTTTTGAAAAACAGTGTCTTTTGAAAAACAGTGTCTTTTGAAAAACAGTGTCTTTTGAAAAACAGTGTCTTTTGAAAAACAGTGTCTTTTGAAAAACAGTGTCTTTTGAAAAACAGTGTCTTTTGAAAAACAGTGTCTTTTGAAAAACAGTGTCTTTTGAAAAACAGTGTCTTTTGAAAAACAGTGTCTTTTGAAAAACAGTGTCTTTTGAAAAACAGTGTCTTTTGAAAAACAGTGTCTTTTGAAAAACAGTGTCTTTTGAAAAACAGTGTCTTTTGAAAAACAGTGTCTTTTGAAAAACAGTGTCTTTTGAAAAACAGTGTCTTTTGAAAAACAGTGTCTTTTGAAAAACAGTGTCTTTTGAAAAACAGTGTCTTTTGAAAAACAGTGTCTTTTGAAAAACAGTGTCTTTTGAAAAACAGTGTCTTTTGAAAAACAGTGTCTTTTGAAAAACAGTGTCTTTTGAAAAACAGTGTCTTTTGAAAAACAGTGTCTTTTGAAAAACAGTGTCTTTTGAAAAACAGTGTCTTTTGAAAAACAGTGTCTTTTGAAAAGTAGTGTCTTTTGAAAAACAGTGTCTTTTGAAAAACAGTGTCTTTGGAAAAACAGTGTCTTTGGAAAAACAGTGTCTTTGGAAAAACAGTGTCTTTGGAAAAACAGTGTCTTTGGAAAAACAGTGTCTTTGGAAAAACAGTGTCTTTGGAAAAACAGTGTCTTTGGAAAAACAGTGTCTTTGGAAAAACAGTGTCTTTTGAAAAACAGTGTCTTTTGAAAAACAGTGTCTTTTGAAAAACAGTGTCTTTTGAAAAACAGTGTCTTTTGAAAAACAGTAGGGAGGTTTTGCATTCCGAATTTCGGAATTATTTTCGACTGTGCTTTTCCGAAAAAAGCGCGTTCCGAAAAACGGTATTTTCAGTGTTTTGCATTCCGAAAATCTGATTCGACTTCGTTTCCAAGGGTTGCCATGCAAAACAAAGTGGAGAGCGTCGAAGGGGTTGAGCAGGATCAGGGAGTCGTAAAATACCTGGTATTTTACGACTCCCTGAGCAGGATCAAATCCATGTGCGCAGGCCAAACTATTTTTGGGTGTGGTTCGAAGACGAGGACGTACTGATGGTGGACCAAGTGATCCAACAGCTGAAGACGAGGTTGGCGAACTACTGTCTTGTACTGTCAGTAGGCTCCATGGCAAAGGAAGATAGAGTGTGATGGAGTGTGAGAAGATTAGTCAACATGGCGAGATCAGCGAGAGCAGCAAAACCAGCAAAAATCAAAACTGACTACATACGTGGAAATTTTTTCAAATAATCGAGAGCAGCAGAAAGCAAAAATACAAACATGAAAAATACACTTTTTTGTATTCAAATATGTACTCCCAAACATGAAAGAGCCGAAAATCCATTTTCGGAAAACCATGCACTTTCGCCACCACACTTCCGAAAGTTCGACTACTTTTTCGACTGCTGCCGCCACATTCCGAAAATAATTCCGAAATTCGGAATGCAAAACCTCTCTAGTGTCTTTTGAAAAACAGTGTCTTTTGAAAAACAGTGTCTTTTGAAAAACAGTGTCTTTTGAAAAACAGTGTCTTTTGAAAAACAGTGTCTTTTGAAAAACAGTGTCTTTTGAAAAACAGTGTCTTTTGAAAAATAGTGTCTTTTGAAAAACAGTGTCTTTTGAAAAACAGTGTCTTTTGAAAAACAGTGTCTTTTGAAAAACAGTGTCTTTTGAAAAACAGTGTCTTTTGAAAAACAGTGTCTTTTGAAAAACAGTGTCTTTTGAAAAACAGTGTCTTTTGAAAAACAGTGTCTTTTGAAAAACAGTGTCTTTTGAAAAACAGTGTCTTTTGAAAAACAGTGTCTTTTGAAAAACAGTGTCTTTTGAAAAACAGTGTCTTTTGAAAAACAGTGTCTTTTGAAAAACAGTGTCTTTTGAAAAACAGTGTCTTTTGAAAAACAGTGTCTTTTGAAAAACAGTGTCTTTTGAAAAACAGTGTCTTTTGAAAAACAGTGTCTTTTGAAAAACAGTGTCTTTTGAAAATAGCGTACCGTACAGTACTCTATGGTAGTGGTTTGGTTCACCCCAGAGTGGTTTGGTTCACCCCAGAGTGGTTTGGTTCACCCCAGAGTGGTTTGGTTCACCCCAGAGTGGTTTGGTTCACCCCAGAGTGGTTTGGTTCACCCCAGAGTGGTTTGGTTCACCCCAGAGTGGTTTGGTTCACCCCAGAGTGGTTTGGTTCACCCCAGAGTGGTTTGGTTCACCCCAGAGTGGTTTGGTTCACCCCAGAGTGGTTTGGTTCACCCCAGAGTGGTTTGGTTCACCCCAGAGTGGTTTGGTTCACCCCAGAGTGGTTTGGTTCACCCCAGAGTGGTTTGGTTCACCCCAGAGTGGTTTGGTTCACCCCAGAGTGGTTTGGTTCACCCCAGAGTGGTTTGGTTCACCCCAGAGTGGTTTGGTTCACCCCAGAGTGGTTTGGTTCACCCCAGAGTGGTTTGGTTCACCCCAGAGTGGTTTGGTTCACCCCAGAGTGGTTTGGTTCACCCCAGAGTGGTTTGGTTCACCCCAGAGTGGTTTGGTTCACCCCAGAGTGGTTTGGTTCACCCCAGAGTGGTTTGGTTCACCCCAGAGTGGTTTGGTTCACCCCAGAGTGGTTTGGTTCACCCCAGAGTGGTTTGGTTCACCCCAGAGTGGTTTGGTTCACCCCAGAGTGGTTTGGTTCACCCCAGAGTGGTTTGGTTCACCCCAGAGTGGTTTGGGAAGTGCGTCAGGCTGCGACAGCAAAAGCAAAAAATGCAGTGTGACTCCCCGTCAGCGTCAAGTGCTGGGGTTTGATGCTGTGTTCAGCTCCAAACTAGCTATAGTGTGACCGAGACTTTATGTAGAGTCAGGAACTCAGAGATGGCAAACTCCGCAACAGGCACATTGCACTACTTTTCGAAGTGGATCCATTCTCACACTTTGAAGCGAGAAACTTTTGCTGCATGCAAATTTGGTGTTTTCGAGGATCGCACTGGGGTTCACGATGAGAAACTTTCTCGGTTTTATCTCTTTAGTTGGATTCTGTATTGTTAACAAACATTTTGCGAATGTGTAGTGGTCGCAAAAATAGACAAACATAGTCTCTAGCGAAAGCTTCTGACTTCACAGTATTCAGAGCAAAGTGCGCACCTGCCATTTGGGACATGAAATAGCACATCTAAAGTGCGCACTATACTCCGACAAATATTATAGTATACACATTGTGCTTTTGGTCCTAACGGTGTTTGTGCCTTCCATGTGTGTGTGTGTGTGTGTGTGTGTGTGTGTGTGTGTGTGTGTGTGTGTGTGTGTGTGTGTGTGTGTGTGTGTGTGTGTGTGCGTGTGTGTGTGTGTGTGTGTGTGTGTGTGTGTGTGTGTGTGCATGTGTGTGCAAGTGTGTGGGTGTGTTTTATGTGTGTGTGTGCACACGCAGGGTGGGGAGGGGTGTTGTCTGCTTGCTATGGTAATAATCGTGTGGAGAGCTAATTTCCCATTTTTGGGTTGATTTGCATACCATATTTTCCCCATTAAACGGACACGTCTCCAATACTAGTACATCTCCAATAGTAGTACATGTTGAGTGCGGATCAAAAATATAAAAGGACAAAGTCTGTAATAATTGTGTTGGGTATTTCACAATAGCAGACGGACGGAGCGAATCGGATTCGAGGTAAGGTCATCAGTACAAGTCGTCAGAGAGAGATTGTTGCAGAGAGAGAGAAAGCTCGACTGAGAAACAACGCAATATAAAGGGCCTGGGTAGCTATGGCAAACATAGGCGCGCAAGTAGCTACCCAGGCCAAATGAATAATACGAGAAGTTTGAAGCAGGAAAGTGTGCATGCCGTGTGTATGAGTGCGTGTGTACATGCATATGTGTGAGAAAGGTCGGTTGGTGTGAGGGTGCGTGCATTTTGTGGGCCTAACAATAGTATATGCCGGAATGATGTGATGAGCATTACTGGGGTACAGGCCATTCAATGGCGGTTGTCTAAAATTCCAGAGTTCAATGGCACATTGTATGTAAAATGCAACTAGAGTGGCACGCAGTTACAAAGATGCCAATAATAGGCAAATTCCAAACAGAGAGACGCACATACACAGAAACAGACGTGCTGATACGCTCCTATGTATACGCATGCACGTACATTGATGTATGGGAGGGAGTTGAAGTTATCATTCTTTGGCAATACATGTAATACCACTACATGTGCTGTGTTTGCATTTGTATGTGTGCAACACTCCAGGACCAGAGCAATGTTGGCCTATCCATGTCGACTTGGATAGAACTCGGATAGATATTCCAGCCAATCTTCCAGCCATGGAATATTACAATGTAGAAATCTTCCAGTACAATGTTTCCAATGGTCGCTATGGCAAAACACTGCCCGGCAGTCCAACACGGACAATTCGTCAAGTATCACTTCCAGCCTTGATCTGTGCCAGCCGCCAACACATGACAATGATCAATATCGTGGGTGTTGACAGCAATGGCTACTCTTATCATCTGACAAACAACTTTACTGACTTCACTTTCGGTAAGTCAAGAAGCAAAGGTCAGGGGTTAGGGCTAGGGTTAGGATTAGGGTTAGGGCTAGTGTTGGTCCAATGATTCCTGTGCTAGTAAGACTTTGTTACAATGTACAGTTACAATGTACACATACAATGTACATGTAGGTATGCACACAATACATGTACTGACTTACTGACTTACTGACTTACTGACTTACTGACCATGGCCAGCAATCAAGGACATCTGAGAGTTGTAATTTTTGTACTCCTCCGAGGTGTGATTTTTGGCGTGCTGGGCCAAGCACAAGGAAGCCATCTGCAAAAAAACTGCAGAAAATGGTTGTTGTTTGATCCTTTGGTGTAATCTTTGTTTCTAGTCGAAGCTAGTTGCTGTTTGGAGCAGAAACGCTGAAATTGACTATTTTCTGCATGTACTCATACATGTACTCATGTACTCAGGCATGCAGTCTCACTCGTATTTTAGCTCTTTTTCTGGAATGGATGCTGCTCTGCGCCCCTTGGTGAACATTTCCTGCGCTCGTGGAGCAGCTGAAAAGGACCACTGGTATGTCTGGTTCCTGGTTTGAAAGTGGAGAGTCGACTTTTGTGCCTTGAAAAAGGAGTAGAGAGCGATAAAGGTACGTCTGTGGCTGATTTTTGAGTGCTCCTCGTACATTTTTGATCGTGATAGAAATTCTCAGACCAAAGTCAGACCAAAGTCAGCGCGATGATGGTCGTACAGTTTTCTTGTGAATTTTTTAGTTGTTTCATCTCGTATCTATGTCAGTATCATGATGGTGAAGTGGAGAGGGTGATTTTCTTCCTCTAGGCTTCGTTCGGCCGACTTTGCTTCGTCCTCGTTGAAAAGTGATCCTGAAAAAAAGGTCGATTCGCAAAATTATGTTGATTTTCAATGTACGAGATGACATGCGATTGCTGGCTATGCTACTGACTTACTGACTGACTGACTTACTGACTTACTGACCTACTGACTTACTCACTTACTGACTTACTGACTTACTGACTTACTGACCTACTGACTTGCTGACCCAGGGATAACGGGGCAGAAAGCAGAAACAATGCTGACATGATTGTTTCTGAATACGACAACCAGAGATACATAAGAGCCTCAGCGTAGGACGTTCAGGTTGGTTTTAACTCTGAATTTCATGCTGCCAGAGTTACATAAAGATTTGGTTCGGTTGAGACGTTCCATGGTACGCTGAGGAAAGACCCTAGATACTTTGTCTATGTAGTGTTAATAAATTGGTTTCCCAATGTTTTCCAATCTTCGTGTTGCTGCTGCTGCCGCCGCCGCCGCCGTCGTCGTCATCATCGTCGTTGTTGTTTGCATCACATCTCATAGCACCCACTCCTGTTGTTGGCGATGGTGTTCAAGGTGCATCTGTCTCAAAACATGATGAGAGCACGGACCTGCTCAAAGTAGAGCTGACGCTGCCTGAAATACCCAAGCTGCTCACTTGGAAGTTTACTGATTGGAAGATTTCTTATAAGATGGTAAGAGAATGCCTTTTCAGCTTTATTAACTACTTCGAAGTATCATCATGTACGCAGTGTACTTCTCCATTTTCAGGTGACATGATCCACCTTTGGACCACCTGATTGAAGCCAGACAAGCTTGTGTGTTAAGTATACATCTCACAGTACTCATATGATTGTACTGTTTTGCTTCGCTGCATGCCATCAGCAGCATTGCTTGTTTCTATTTTACTTCTATATTATTGTGTTTTCATGCTTGCCTGGAAACATACACCGGCACATGTTCCTCTACTGGAGAATTCTCTTGATACAATATGCTGGCTCCTTGTCACCTATCTTGCCATCTGCATGAACCATGTACCGTAGTGACGCACATATAAGCACGTGTGCCTATACCCGGGCATAAGCGCACCCTCACAAATAAGCACATGGGCTTATTTGTGAACCTACATGCAGTCCATCCCGCGACACACAGACACCACAAAAATACCATGTTCACATAGTTCAATTTGCATTGCGGTATTGCACTATGTGCGTAATTATGCAAGGTACCGGTACACTAGCAACTCAAGCGCATTCGCCTATGTGTGAGACAAAACGACCCGCAAAAAATAGCAAAAATGCAAAAACTTACTCATAAGTGCATGTGCCTTTATGTGCGTCACTACGGTATTGCTTGTGTTTCTCTGTAATATAGGCACAGTGGAGTTCTTACTCAGAGGAAACATCACCAGCCACCAACCCAACCATGGTGCTCTTGCTGGAGAAAGGAATTTATGAGTACATACTGACTCTTGTCAGCAGTCACACTGATGCTGAAATCATATTCGGCGGATTCTTCTTTTACAGTAAGTTCTAGCACTACCGTATTTTGCCGTTTGTAAGTCGCACCCCCTCCCCCCCCCCCCCCCCTCATTTCCAGGTTCATGTCATATTGTTTAAAGGGGAAGTTAAGGCAAAAATTAAAATTTCACCAGTTGTAGTCTTCGGGGTGCTGAGTCGAATGGTCTTGGTCCGAGAAAGCTGAGACGCTCCCTTCCTACTTGAATCCCAATCGAACTCGGGCACTTCCACCGAAACTGGGTGACTGCGCCCTACTAGATGGGGATTTGTATGCAAAATATCACTAAAAGCGCCATTTCGTTCTTATAAAAGCACGGATGACCGCGATTGGCCCATATGTTGTAGTCTTTTGGACGCTGAGTCGACTGGTTTTGGTCCGAAAAGGCTGCGATGCAGCGTTCCTCCTTTATTCCAAATCGAACATGGTTGAAGAAGCGGTCACGTGCTCCTGGGTGCCCAAATCACCTGGTCACCACGCCAGCAGGTGACAACTTTCACACCAAGGTTCAACTCGAGTTCAACTCGAGTGACAGGACTGCACCCAAAAAAGGTCAAACAGGCTAGTAAGTTGTACCCTGCAGGCACAGTGACCAGGTGACTGGTGTACGCAGGAGCACGTGACCGCTTGTTCAACCATGTTCGATTGGGAATAAAGGAGGAACGCCGCATCGCAGCCTTTTCGGACCAAAACCAGTCGACTCAGCGTCCAAAAGACTACAACATATGGGCCAATCGCGGTCATCCGTGCTTTTATAAGAACGAAATGGCGCTTTTAGTGACATTTTGCATACAAATCCCCATCTAGTAGGGCGCAGTCACCCAGTTTCGGTGGAAGTGCGCGAGTTCGATTGGGATTCAAGTAGGAAGGGAGCGTCTCAGCTTCCTCGGACCACGACCATTCGACTCAGCACCCCGAAGACTACAACTGGTGAAATTTTAATTTTTGCCTTAACTTCCCCTTTAAATCTATTCACTTCAGTAATATGTCATGCTCGATTGTAAGTCGCACCCCTTGGATGACTTTGAAGATTGATGTATTAACCCTTTGAGGCCCATAGTACGGATATATCCGTACCAGTGTACAGTGCATACTTTTCAAAGCGCAACCTGGCGTAACTCGGCTGCCCCTTGACCAAATCGGACAATCGAAAGGGCTATCGACATTAGAATTGTCTCAGCTGTCGGCTCAAAAATAACCGAAAGCGATCCGAGTTCGGAGAGCGGAGATACGAGACTCGAACTAAATTCGCTCAGCAGAGTCAACTCGAGCGAGTGCATTTTGAACTCGTTTTTAGGGGTTTCCCCTGACTCGCGGCCCACGCAGCTACAGATACTTCACGTCATCGCAAAGGCATGTTTCTCAGCTCTCCAGTAAAAAAAATTTGAGCGATCTGCGATGCAATTTGTTGAAATGGCAGAGAAATTGAGTTGGGCGCTCGCAATGCTGGCTTTGGAGCGCCGTATCGCGCTGCGGCGCTGGTTCTGCGGATCGAGTGATGTATTGCTAGCTATCGCTGTGTTCCTCTGGCCAAGAGCTTTCCAGAAAGCCCAAGATCACCAAAATCGGCCAAAGGACACCAAAGTTACGACCAGATAAGTACCTGGGCTCGCGTATGCAGCGCATTTCTTGAAATAATTGTGGGCCCTAAAGGGTTAAGGTGCGACTTATAGCATGTATTCGGGGAAATGCGGTACACACACACAGTGGTCTTTGGCAACATGACCTCCACTTCGGGCAACATGACCTCCACTTCGGGCAACATGACTTCCACTTCGGGCAACATGACTTCCACTTCGGGCAACATGACCTCCACTTCGGGCAACATGACTTTCACTTCGGGCAACATGACCTCCACTTTGGGCAACATGACTTCCTCTTCGGGCAACATGACTTCCACAAAGATCACGTTTGAAAGTACTTGTGTTTGTACCTGCACTTATATTGATTCATATGGTGTTAAATACACACCTGGCAATATGGTGTTAAATACACACCTGGCAATATGGTGGTAAATACACACCTGGCAATATGGTGGTAAATACACACCTGGCAATATGGTGGTAAATACACGCCTGTCCACACACACACGTGCGTGGGCAGATGTGTATTAACTGCCCTTGTTGCCAGGTGTATATTTACCGCATCATATGAATCAAGCACAAGTACAGCTGCAGTGGAGTCTTCAATTTCATGTACATGTACCTGTGCTCAGAAGTAGCGAGAAACTCGGCCATTTAGAAATAGTTTGAACTGTCCACCTCTCCACACTGCGCTCTTGGCCCACATTCACAACACCATACTACATGGCAAGGAAGTTCGTTCTTGGATAGATGCTCCATATCCTCCAGACAGCTGTTTTGCTCATTAAGAGCTGCTCAGTGGAGGTAGATAACAAATGAATAGCAGATAAAGGAATGAGTATGTTTATAGGGTAAAAGTGGTGCAATTGTGCACTTTCTACATAGAAAAGTGGCATACCCAAAGAAGTTGAAGTTGACAAAGTTCTAAAGGTGACAACGAAACGCACAGTGCGGCTGGGACATGCATACACATGACGCTAGATTTTAGACAAGCGCATGAAGCAGACAATCTATTAGAAGTTTGCACTAACGTTGCCACACATACATGCATAATGTTCATACATGCATATTAATGGCATCATGAACATTCCACATACGGCACGGAAATAGCGGTATCCGTCTGCTTCCATCGGGTAGCTGAGTGCCTATATGTACAGTCAACTTTGCTTATAACGACACTCGGCGGGGCATCAGAAAAGTGTCCTTATTTGCGAAGTGTCGTTATACCCGAAGTCTCATATGTATTACAGTTGGATGGGACTTTGCTCTGGGCATGGAAATTCTGTCGTTATTCGCAAATTGTCGTTATATCCTCAGTCGTTATTAGCGAAGTTGACTGTAGTAACGTTCAAAGTACTGGAGTATGTCATCTGCTTCTGGAGAGATATGCGACTCCAGATATTCATAATATTCAATACAATCCCCTTGAGGAACGAAGGCCAGGGCTGCGAACTGACTCATCTCGAGGTTGAAGTTGTCGTTTGTGATGTAGAGCTCTTGATGGCCGCTGCTCTGAACGGGTTTCCATATGTTTGGGGCAAGATGGAAGAAACAGCCACGTATTTCGACCTCCGGCATCTTGATTCTGATAGTATTTACCATCCCCTTCTCGAAGTCTTTATGCATCGTATTTGGCTCAGCCTCGATCCTGTGTAACAGAACTGGCATCAGTCGCTCATACTTCAAAGTAGGTTTGCTGCGTTTTGTCCGGTAGTAGGGAGTACACTAGAGGGATGAAGGAGCTGTTCTGCTGCACACCGATGGTATACAGCTGCTTAAATAAGAGCGGCACTGTTTTGAATGTTCCATTGCCATACAAATCATCGTTAGTTTCGAGAATTGCAATATTCGCATCCGCAGAAAACACTAACATCCGTTGTGCACCCGAGGCCACACCAGAATCGTAAAGAAGGAAATTGTCGCCATTTCCTGTCTCCGTGTACATGTACGGTTCAGGCATCCCCAGTGCAGCTAGCAATGCTGGATTGGCAAGCACTTTGTCAGCTCTCACTCCCCATTCAATTTAATCCTCCCTACCCAATATCCCTTTGGTGCGTCCATGGAGCTATGAAGCCGAGACCTCTGGTCGGCGGAGCTTAATGGGCCCGACCACCACACTCCATCATTCACCCCAGTGTCTGGAGATATGTGGAGTTTGTAGAAAAAAAAGAAAAAAAACTCTTTCTCGCTAGACAAGCCGCTTGAGAGATTTAGAAGGCGGCAGTCTACATGCCGTAACGGGACTTGCTGTAGATAGAGCAGGTGATACAATTTGGTGTAAGGATTCCAGTATTTCTCTACTTCTTGCCACAACATCGTCGCTCGTCTGCGCTAATGACGTCCTGCCTGGCTCGTGTGCGTGGCAGTGCTCACCAACAACCTTGGTCACCTTCATATACATTGTAGTCAATTGACCCTTGCAATGGAGTTCATCCTTGCTTTCGTTTCCATCTCCAGTAGACCACCGTATTTGGCCCGTCTTTGTCCTTAACGTACGCATATCCTCGGTAGATGATCTTGGGCTTTCCTCTCTTGGTAGATGTCACATAGTCTAGCTCCTCCGCACGCTGGTCGCAATTATCTCCATTCTCCATTGTTGGCTTGCAAGTGGCACGTGTTATGATATCCAACTGTCCCCGAAATCTAATATTTACAGTCGCATCCTGTCATGCTCACGCTGAACACGACAGGTGAGAAAATGTAATGGTGCCGAGCGGGTCACTGTGGCATGTCGTGCTGTGAAGAGAATTGGCTGTGAATCGCTGTGTCTGATGTAATGGTGACGAGCGGATCACTGTGGCATGTCGCACTGTGGCATGTCGCACTGTGAAGCGAATTGGCTGTGAATCGCTGTGTCTGATGCTCTAGCACATCTTGGATGAGACTTTCAGCTCGTGCTTATCTTGGTTGCGCTCACCTTCCCCTCCTTATGTTATTTCTATAACTTAGAACCTTCCAAGTTGGAAGGCTGTTGGAGTGCGCATCCAAGATGTGCTAGAGCTATTAGCCAGTTAGTTGGAGAACGTCAGTACCGTCGGTCAGTGTAGTGCAATGTTATCGCATGAGCTGATTGTTTAGTAACTGGTGGTGTTAGTGGACAGTATAGCGTAACTTGTAGTTCCTTGGTCTTTCTGTTTTGTATAAATTCAACCTTGGCTCTCCATCTGAGTCCTTTCCTTTATCTGCTATTCATTCCTTGTCTACATCCACTGAGGAGCTCCTAATGAGCAAAACAGCTGTCTGGAGGATACGGAGCATCTATCCAAGAAATGAACTTCCTCGCTATGGAGTATGGTGTTATGAATGTGGGCCGAGAGCGCAGTGTGGAGTGGTGGACAGTTCAAATGATGTACCTGTACTGTACAATTTAAAACAAAAAACAGTGTCCAGTGTGGGTTTCAAATGCTGGTGTATTAAGGCAAACCAAGTCATGGTGCAGTTGCATAATACACAGATCAGGCTACGGCCCATGGACCCATGAGTGCAATTCAGCACCAATTGCTTTCGAAAGTGTGACCCTCACAACCTGGTATATATTTTATGACTACTGCAGGGTTAGGGTACACAGGGGATTCCCATATCAGATTTTGAGTTTTTTGCGCTCCATACATAATTTTATTTTCATTATTTTATTGGTTTGGTGAGACTCCCATGATAGGTATCCATTTACCTCTGGAGAATCCGTAAATAAACAAACAACAACATATCACGACTTCTGCTGCACTCTATGCATATTTACTAGGGTTGAAACTGCATATTTACTAGGGTTGAAACTGCATATTTACTAGGGTTGAAACTGCATATTTACTAGGGTTGAAACTGCATATTTACTTGAAACTGCATATTTACTAGGGTTGAAACTGCATATTTACTAGGGTTGAAACTGCATATTTACTAGGGTTGAAACTGCATATTTACTAGGGTTGAAACTGCATATTTACTAGGGTTGAAACTGCATATTTACTAGGGTTGAAAGTGCATATTTACTAGGGTTGAAAGTGCATATTTACTAGGGTTGAAACTGCATATTTACTAGGGTTGAAACTGCATATTTACTAAAGTTGAAACTGCATATTTACTAGGGTTGAAAGTGCATATTTACTAGGGTTGAAACTGCCTATTTACTAGGGTTGAAACTGCATATTTACTTGAAACTGCATATTAACTAGGGTTGAAACTGCATATTTACTAGGGTTGAAACTGCATATTTACTAGGGTTGAAAGTGCATATTTACTAGGGTTGAAACTGCATATTTACTAGGGTTGAAAGTGCATATTTACTAGGGTTGAAACTGCATATTTACTAGGGTTGAAACTGCATATTTACTAGGGTTGAAACTGCATATTTACTAGGGTTGAAAGTGCATATTTACTAGGGTTGAAACTGCATATTTACTAGGGTTGAAACTGCATATTTACTAGGGTTGAAAGTGCATATTTACTAGGGTTGAAAGTGCATATTTACTAGGGTTGAAAGTGCATATTTACTAGGGTTGAAACTGCATATTTACTAGGGTTGAAACTGCATATTTACTAGGGTTGAAACCGCATATTTACTAGGGTTAAAACTGCATATTTACTAGGGTTGAAACTGCATATTGACATGTTTCATTTGTGGGAGGAATGAAAACGGTGAAAAGTGTGAAGAAAATTTGACTGTCAGAACCTGGACTCGAACCGCTAGAAGCGAGCAATGCTGTACCACGAACTTTTGGTGTAGTTGTTGTCCAATCAAAAACAGTTTAACCTTTCCCCCGACTTTGAAACTAAAATTTGCATGTTCCATGTTCAGATCATCTGTGTGTCACGAGCAGCCGCTGCATTGTGTTCTTGGGCATTGTCAAGAGTGCATACCAGTACTTAACCTTAAGTAGTGTGCAACTGCCTGTACAACCCCTATCCAGTGCTGCGACAGCATGCCTGTACAACCCCTATCCAGTGCTGTGACAGCATGCCTGTACAGCCCCTATCCAGTGCTGCGACAGCATGCCTATACAACCCCTATCCAGTGCTGCGACAGCATGCCTGTACAACCCCTATCCAGTGCTGTGACAGCATGCCTGTACAACCCCTATCCAGTGCTGTGACAGCATGCCTGTACAACCCCTATCCAGTGCTGCGACAGCATGCCTGTACAACCCCTATCCAGTGCTGCGATAGCATGCCTGTACAACCCCTATCCAGTGCTGCGACAGCATGCCTATACAACCCCTATCCAGTGCTGCGACAGCATGCCTGTACAACCCCTATCCAGTGCTGCGACAGCATGCCTGTACAACCCCTATCCAGTGCTGCGACAGCATGCCTGTACAACCCCTATCCAGTGCTGCGATAGCATGCCTGTACAACCCCTATCCAGTGCTGCGACAGCATGCCTGTACAACCCCTATCCAGTGCTGTGACAGCATGCCTGTACAACTCCTATCCAGTGCTGTGACAGCATGCCTGTACAACCCCTATCCAGTGCTGCGACAATATGCCTGTACAACCCCTATCCAGTGCTGTGACAGCATGCCTGTACAACCCCTATCCAGTGCTGCGACAATATGCCTGTACAACCCCTATCCAGTGCTGCGACAGCATGCCTATACAACCCCTATCCAGTGCTGCGACAGCATGCCTGTACAACTCCTATCCAGTGCTGAGACAGCATGCCTGTACAACCCCTATCCAGTGCTGCGACAGCATGCCTGTACAACCCCTATCCAGTGCTGTGACAGCATGCCTGTACAACCCCTATCCAGTGCTGCGACAGCATGCCTATACAACCCCTATCCAGTGCTGCGACAGCATGCTTGTACAACCCCTATCCAGTGCTGCGACAGCATGCCTGTACAACCCCTATCCAGTGCTGCGACAGCATGCCTGTACAACCCCTGTCCAGTGCTGCGATAGCAGATCTTCACATACCGTGACATGGTTCGATAGGTTATGTTGGCACCGAGTGCAAAGTGATTACCGGAGAGTTGAAGCCAAAGCAGAATTGCTGACAACTATGTATCTATCATGCATGAGACTCAAATAATAGAGAGGTTCCGTGCTACGTAAAGATGAGCAACTTTACATAAGTGGACGGGAAACGCCTTGAATTCGCGAGTTTGCACTCCACTTACGGAAAGCTGTCTATGGAGAGTATGTAAATGGAGCTCCACTAATGGAGGTACTCCGTAAGTAGATTGGAGTGTAAGTTTACGACTCTCTCTTTTTGGGTCGTACACTTTTGTATCCGGAATTGGCATAGGCACTCCCGTGGTTTGAAAATGCCGTATGGCGGAACACGGGTCTGCATGCAGTGTGCGCAAGACTTTCTATAGATCGCTTAGGTTTTTTGCTGACGTAATTATGTAGCGTGGAGCCTCTCTAATATGAACGAGTTTTTCATGCAATGTCAAGTTCGTGCATCGCAGACCTCATAGACTGGAGTTGCACACTCTTGGGGGTATGTATGTACTCTTGGCATCATATACAATCCCCATGAAAAAGCTTCACTGGATCTCAATAGGCATTGATTGATTGGCACACTGATAGGAGAAATCCTGTCATGTTCAAGATGAGGATATGGCATATCGAAGTGCATATTCTAGTATGTGTTTTACAACTGAAAGTTCCATATTTCATGCATTTGTTTTCCATGTACAGGTTTGGAGGAGCCTGGCAGTCAAACGGGGCCCATGGAGCCTAGTGGAGGTGCAACATCAAAAAGTGTGACTGTGTTCCTGACAGAAGTAGACGTTGGACCGGTGGACGCACATCTTTACAGGTGGTCTCCAGAAATATATGGATGGATTCGCAGTGGTGAAGCTCTTGCACTGACCACTGGAAGTGGTGTTGAAAACCATGTCTTTGAGGGACTTTCCCCAGGAAAATACTCCTACATCCTATCTGCTTACAAGAACGGAACTTACAATGTTTACTTCCAAGGAGTCGAAGAGCCAGTCGGTGAGTCACTTGATCATTTTCCTATTCTGTGATCAGTGTTCTCCACAGTGGTGACTACTAGTGAGGCTGGTAGAGTGCTGATCAACAGTGGTGAGTACTAGTGAGGCTGGTAGAGTGCTGATCAACAGTAGTGAGTACTAGTGAGGCTGGTAGAGTGCTGATCAACAGTAGTGAGTACTAGTGAGGCTGGTAGAGTGCTGATCAACAGTAGTGAGTACTAGTGAGGCTGGTAGAGTGCTGATCAACAGTAGTGAGTACTAGTGAGGCTGGTAGAGTGCTGATCAACAGTAGTGAGTACTAGTGAGGCTGGTAGAGTGCTGATCAACAGTAGTGAGTACTAGTGAGGCTGGTAGAGTGCTGATCAACAGTAGTGACTACTAGTGAGGCTGGTAGAGTGCTGATCAACAGTAGTGAGTACTAGTGAGGCTGGTAGAGTGCTGATCAACAACCACAGTAGTGAGTACTAGTGAGGCTGGTAGAGTGCTGATCAACAGCCACACTACCAGTATAAACTCCTGCAAACATTCAACTGAGACCAGTGTAAACATTCACCAAGACGGTGCACTGGTTTTTCAGGGACCTGCTGAAGAAGAAAGCTGGCATTATCAAGACCACTTGATCATTATCAAGAGTAATTGATGATGAAAGCACTGGACAATTCCACGCATACTCTACACCTATAAGAAATAGTGGGGCTACTTTGGCATTTGTACCGAAATTATGTGTTGCTCTCTACTCGGGAGTTGGCACTTTCCCTGAAGATTTGACCTTACACATGACTGACTTGCAACTGCTAGTATCATTAACATGAAAAATGCATCGCAACTTCCACTCAAGAAACCTGCAAGAAAGCGCCACTACCTGCTGACTACCTGCTCACTACCTGCTCAATATACAGTCTGTCAGGGAATTCAACCCTCATTAGTTGAGCTTGAGTAGGCTGATGAAATTTGTGCTGCAGGAGCATCACAATATATAACGCTCCAAGCCAGCTAGTAGCAATGGCATGCAGAGGGTAGTGGACGGTTCTATGGACTTCTTGTGTGCTCTGTTGTGAGTCAGTCAAGTATCATGTCCAGTCTGTCGGAAAGGTGTGAGCTCCCATGTAGGGAGCGACAGCCACACTCACTCACTCCATGCCAAATTAGCTGAATCAATGAGAATAGTAGGGAGGGGGGGGGGGGGCACAGTGTCTGGCAGTGAGCTGCAGATCAATCTCTAGCAACACATCTAGCAAAACGGGTCAGCTAAGTGGAGAGTGTACTTCGTTTCGAAACATAGCCCCTTTCAAACACAGAAATCAGCATTTGAGACTCTACGTGGAGAAAACGGTCCGCTCGGCTAGTTAGGTCAGACCAACCCAGCTATATATTATGCATTGAGGGAGAATTCCCTTTTTCCACTGTTGAACGGCATCACGATTCACCCTGCTTGGCATGGCTAGGCTTTAGTGCATGAGATATACACTATGTATGCAGGGGCGTGCATAGGGCGGTTCCCGGGATGCCCGGGAACCAGTAAAAACATTCGATATGGCCATGGTGACGGAGAATTTTTTGATCCAAGACCAGCGCTCGCAGTGCATGCACTAGTGCCATCGGCCTCTTCATATTTGTGCAGCTGCACTGTTGAGCTTCCGATGTAAAACAAATAATAATAATAATAATAATAATAATAATAATGTGGAAGAGAAAAAGACATATGGATACGAGTTAAGAGTAACTCTCCATCACTGTAACATGATACTATTCCATATGTCTTTTTCTCTTCCACATTTATTTATGGCTCAACATCCGAGTTTCAAATAATAATAATAATAATAATAATACGTATTCGCATGCAACGACGCAAATCCACACAATTCAGTAGACACTTTTTCTATCAAACGTTTTCTTTCCCTTCTCTTCAGGATAGTACAGGGAATGTTGGAAATTAGAAAAACACATAACTATATAGAGAGTGAAAGAAAGAAAAAGTCAACACTTCAACATAGGTGTTAAAAATGATTAAAGTGTTAAAAACTCAAAAACAAACAGCTGCAAGTTGTAGACAAACACGTTGAACACATCAGGGAACACTTGTCACACTTTCACGAGGTGTGACACCAAACAACTGCAACGATAACACATTCTCCTTCTGTACACATAGTTCTGGATCTAGTTTACGAATATACAGAGCTTCTAACACAGCAAGATGTAACTTAGACCTTCCACGAGTCAAAATCGAAAAGATATCATCACTATACAACTTACGACAACTTTGTCGGGCAGTGCTAGTTGTCGTAAGTTGTATAGTGATGATATCTTTTCGATTTTGACTCGTGGAAGGTCTAAGTTACATCTTGCTGTGTTAGAAGCTCTGTATATTCGTAAACTAGATCCAGAACTATGTGTACAGAAGGAGAATGTGTTATCGTTGCAGTTGTTTGGTGTCACACCTCGTGAAAGTGTGACAAGTGTTCCCTGATGTGTTCAACGTGTTTGTCTACAACTTGCAGCTGTTTGTTTTTGAGTTTTTAACACTTTAAAGGGGAAGTATACCCTAAAATCAAATTTTCACCAGTTGTAGTCTTCTGGGTGCTGAGTCGAATGGTCTTGGTCCGAGGAAGCTGCGACGCTCCCTTCCTACTTGAATCCCAATCGAACTCGCGCACTTCCACCGAAACTGGGTGACTGCGCCCTACTAGATGGGGATTTGTATGCAAAATGTCACTAAAAGCGCCATTTCGTTCTTATAAAAGCACGGATGACCGCGATTGGCCAATATGTTGTAGTCTTTTGGACGCTGAGTCGACTGGTTTTGGTCCGAAAAGGCTGCGATGCAGCGTTCCTCCTTTATTCCCAATCGAACATGGTTGAACAAGCGGTCACGTGCTCCTGGGTGCCCAAATCACCTGGTCACCGCGCCAGCAGGCGACAACTTTCACACCAAGGTTCAACTCGAGTTCAACTCGAGTGACAGGACTGCACCCAAAAAAGGTCAAACAGGCTAGTAAGTTGTACCCTGCAGGCACGGTGACCAGGTGACTGGTGTACGCAGGAGCACGTGACCGCTTATTCAACCATGTTCGATTGGGAATAAAGGAGGAACGCTGCATCGCAGCCTTTTCGGACCAAAACCAGTCGACTCAGCGTCCAAAAGACTACAACATATTGGCCAATCGCGGTCATCCGTGCTTTTATAAGAACGAAATGGCGCTTTTAGTGACATTTTGCATACAAATCCCCATCTAGTAGGGCGCAGTCACCCAGTTTCGGTGGAAGTGCGCGAGTTCGATTGGGATTCAAGTAGGAAGGGAGCGTCGCAGCTTCCTCGGACCAAGACCATTCGACTCAGCACCCAGAAGACTACAACTGGTGAAAATTTGATTTTAGGGTATACTTCCCCTTTAATCATTTTTAACACCTATGTTGAAGTGTTGACTTTTTCTTTCTTTCACTCTCTATATAGTTATGTGTTTTTCTAATTTCCAACATTCCCTGTACTATCCTGAAGAGAAGGGAAAGAAAACGTTTGATAGAAAAAGTGTCTACTGAATTGTGTGGATTTGCGTCGTTGCATGCGAATACGTATTACGAAACTGTTTTTCCCACCGCCTCCAAACTACTGTTTGAATAATAATAATAATAATAATAATAATAATAATTTTACAAGAAGTCGGAGGCGGATAATACTTTAATAACGAAGGTACGTGTTAGGTCGTAAGTATCCACGCAAACACACATCCAGTCAAAATAAGGCACTTGTCAAAGTATCCGAACGTTTTCGGTCCCTTCTCATCAAGGATTATACAGGGAATGGCTCAAGTTGGAAAGACTAAAACTTATATAGCGTAAAGATATGAGATAACAACACTCGTGACAAGGTGAAAAAAAAGTATCAAGTTCAGCACGACACAAAACTCGAAGGACATAATAATAGCGACAAGAACATAGTGAGCAAATTAAGTTACATTGTTAACACCTCGACGAGGAGTAACACCAAACAATTGTAGCGACAACACATTTTCTTTTTGTACGCAAAGTTCAGGATCTAACTTACGGATATACAAAGCTTCTAACACAGCCAGATGCAACGCACATCTACCACGTGACAATATTGAGAACACATTATCACTGTACAACTCACGACAATTGGTACGGGCTGACAGATGTTGCTTGATGGACGAAGTGCGATTCTTAGCTCCGTTGGGTGTAGTCTCCTCCAATGTCCCGTCATCTCGCCTCTTCGCGGCATCACCACTAACCGTCTCTTTGCTTTTCCGCGGCCTTCCACGTTTTCTGACACTAGCCGTTGTGTGCGCGATGCCCAGTGTCCTTTCAGCTACGTCTCCTCCATTGCGGATTTCTATTGATCTTCTTACTCCAACTTGTCCGGTGTTCGATATTGAGGTTCGTTTTCGCGGTCTACCACGTTTTCGAATATTGACTGTTGTTGTCACTTCCGTTGTCGTTGTACGTGCGTCCTCACCAGTCCGTATTTTTACTTGGCTTCGCGTAACCCTTCCCGACGCAGACAGATCCTTTGTCAATTTCGGTGGTTTACGTGTCGGTCTTTCACCATCTTTCACGCTGTTCTCAGCTGGACCCTGCGCTATACACGCGGAGGAGGACGGGCATGCAGTGATATCTTCACAGGAAGAGGAAGATCCACCGATGGACTGGACAGCACATTTTGGAGGACGACCACGGCGAGGACGACACTCACGCGCATCAAGCGGAACAAAACTTAACGGCACATGTTGACGAATGCGCGCGCCCAGGTGCTGAAGGGTTCTACCTACATACCGATCTTCACATTGTCGGCATTGAAAGAAATAGATAAGGTTACTTTTACTAAGGGTAGGTAGAACATCCTTCTTCACACTGAACGCACGCACTGTACCTTCGTTATTAAAATAATAATAATAATAATAATAATAATAATAGTGCATGCGCATATGCAGTACATGCCTAGCCTAGAGTCCGCCTGACGGTCCGAGGACGGTGACTATGTGTAAAAGTGGTGCTGGGACACAGCGTAGGCCTACTGAACTGGGTGCAACAAAGTCTCTAGTTACATCGCCGGTTTTCTCGATCTCAGAGTCAAATTTTCCTTTGCAGTTTGTTTTGACAAAGTTGGTTGTGTTTTGGACGATGGTTTCACTTTGTGGAAAAAAATGAAGCGTCTACATCCAGAGGGCCAGCGCTCTATTCAGAGCTATTTTGAGCAGCAGGCAAAGCGTGTAGCCAGTGGCGAAGGTCAAGCGATAGATGAGAATGCAGACGCACCTGACTTGCAAACGGAGTCTGCAACGAGCAGCGCCGAGGAAGGAATCGTCGGCGAAGCTGTAGAGCGAGCGTTGTTGGAAGCTGCTGGATCATCCAAGACTTACTTCAGTGACATGGGAGTGTGTTGGAAGGGATATTCTGAAAGTCTACTTCCACAGTGGAATCCAATCACCCCAAATTTGCCGGACACGGAAAAGATTTCCGTCATCGACAATCATTGTGCGCCACCGAAGGCGAAGAATTTCCTGAATTTCATTTACTGTGCGTGTCCAGACGGATAGCAAACAGCGCCGCCTTCAACTATCTTTGTTGGAGGAGTTTCCTGGGTAGTCTTTCGACAGGCGTGCAATGGTGGCTTCTGCTTGCCCTGTGTGATGCTTGCTCCAGATGGTTCGAAACTTCGGCAGCTTTACCGCAGTCCTCTCGAGAATTTAACCTGATTCAAGACTGCATGTAATCGTCATGCTGAACAAAACATCCATAAAAATGGGGAAAGGTTCAGTCTTTATAAATCAAAAAATGTCTAGCAATGACATCGTCCAGCAGCTTGCGGATGTTAATTCCACCCAGTCTGAGAAGAATATGCAGAAACTACTTGGGATACGAAAAACAGCACTGGCAATTGTGTGGAATGTTAGTTGATCAGTTGGCATGGGAACCACCCCTGGAGGCGAGCGGTGTACGCCCCTGGTATGTACATGTCATGTAAGCTTGAGCGAATGAAGACTGCTGAGACCAACTACGTAACTGCCGACTTGCATGGACGTATTTGGCCCGTCCCGGAAGTAGCTGCCATTGCCTTTTTCCTTCACCGCCGGATCTTTATCCGTAGATAAATATAACGACTTCGATGCCAAAACAGCCTATGAGGACGAGGATGATACAACACTGGACACCGCCTCGGGGAGACATCTCTTTGGCGGACAGTTGGCGTGCTGATCATTGGGCATCACATACAATGGCACGTGCAGACGAACGTTGCTTGTATTCAGTCCTCGACTCCTGATGGAGGTAACGAGCTTAAAGGTCGTACCCTTTCTTGAGCATACCTCGAAAAGTATGTCTTGTCGTTAAAAGAAAATCAATCGACTGTGTGATGGAGACCAGGCTCATATTAATGGTGGTTAATTCATCAGCCTTGGAAGCGCTTGAATGGTGCAACCCATTGCTTTGTGTACCATCGATTTTAGCTATTTCTTCTTCAGCCTTCTGGCATGTATGTGTATGTGTATGCAAGTGTGTGTATGTGTATGCGAGTGTGTGTATGTGTGTGCATATGTGTGAATATATATGTGTGTGTGTGTGTGTGTGTGTGTGTGTGTGTGTGTGTGTGTGTGTGTGTGTGTGTGTGTGTGTGTGTGTGTGTGTGTGTGTGTGTGTGTGTGTGTGCAATGGCGTACCCAAGGGGGTGCACAGGGTGGTTTTTCATCCAGTTACTATATTGCAATCACAAGGTGACTGGGCACAAATGATAACATCATTCTGTCTCTGTTACAAACGATTTTTGTGGTATTCTACATTTTACGATGACATCACTGCATCGTGTATGTGTAACGTTACACCACATGAAGGGTCCCTAATTTAATTACTATCGCTGAGATTCATATATCTGTCTTATGTTAGATGTTTAGGAATGGGTTTGCTCCCACACTGGAGCTCACGCTATGTTAGATGGCGAAATCTATAGAATGATCCTGTTTGGATTATCATAATAACAATTATGCCATAACATGTACCGCTGTGGATATTGAAATTCAGTGGAAGGATTGGGGCGCCCTAAATGTGTAGAGGGGATGGTTTCAAATTGGAAATAGGTTGCAAACCGGAACGGATGCAATATTCACTTTCTCTCTTGGTATTTTTGATTAGAAAACATATGTCACCAACGCATATGGCTGATTGGTTTGCAGGCCTGCCTGCGAATCATGAGGTCCCGAGTTCAAGACCCGCCCTGGTAGCAGGGAGCGTGTAAAAAGACCTTTCACGCGTGTTGAACTGCACCGACACCCACGGTCAACTGGGTGCTCACAGCTCGGAGTGAGAATAACAAGGATGCAGTACACAGGGTTATGGGCAGTTACACGCCCGATTGGTTGAGAGACTAACCTCCTCTCCCCTGACTCACTTGTGACGTCTGCATTCGCCACTAAGGTGAACAGGCATAGTGGTGGCCTGCGGATGCGAAGGCTAGTTTGTGTGTTTCTGAACATTCAAGCGATGCCGACGCGGATCCCGCGAATATTATTATTATTAGCCCACCCAGAATCAATTCGTTGTTTCGGGTCACTTCACTCATCCGTACCAGGGTCGGTCGGTCGGGTTTATTATATATTTTATTTAATTTTTTTATTTTGGTTACTGCGGTGTGCATACATGATTATGCATATCCAATGGCTTTTGTCCATCAAGCCAGTCGATCAAATCTGACTGTACATTGTTGTAGACGATCCAGCACGCGCAGTCATTGTCCCATTACTACTGGCATTAGATCCAGGTCCCCTCCAGGACCAGATCTTTGCCTCGCTGGCAAACGAGTCTGACGAGCAGCTCTCACCAAAACCTTTGTCAATGAGCGATGCGGTAGCGGAGCTGAAGCTGTTTCAGGACCGATTGCGGATCCGAGATAATAGAAGACAACCTCGTCACCAAGCGCTGCATCATGTCATTTGGCTGCTTCTGAGCATGAGGTCGATGTCTAGACTGCTATTATAGGATCGCGTGTGTGTAGTCGACACTAGCTGTACATTTGCATGCACAATATAAAAAAAACATTTTGCTGTCGGGTGAAAAAAGACGGTCGGTCGGGTGACCCGAAACAACGAATTAATTCTGGGTGGCCTTATTAAAACATATGTCACAGTGAAACTACGATGTGTTTTACTCCAAGCCATAATTTCATGGCTCTGCCATGACCAGAAGTGCCCTACCCAGTAGGTGAATTTTGGACTTAAAATCAGCTTCCTGTCGCAGGTAAACAGCGGCTCGCCTCTCGCAAATAGAGCACCGTATACCAATGAAAACTATTGGAAGCACTCTATTGCTCTGTACTGGCCGTCGTGGAGCGATAGCAATTACCTAATTTCAGAACTCAGAGTGAATTTGACGTGCACTCTAAAACCTTTCCGGTTTGGAGCCACCTCTGATTTGAGACGAAAAATTGGGCATCTTGGAGGCAACGGCCCAACACAAAGGAGTGGCTTAGTGCGATCAACTCTGGCCTCAGAGCAAACTTCAACATGCCAGTTTCTTTCCACAAACATACTTCGAGTGAACAATCCACGCTGATGATCGGTTTGGGTCTACACAATTTTGAAGTGAAAACGTTCCGGTATCGAACCGTCCCCTCTACACATCAATACGTAGGGAGTTCATACAACAAAAGCCTACATGGTGAATGTGTACCAGATCACGGTACATACCCTGTGTCCACTGAAGAAATCGAACGCCCAGTACAAAGTCCAGTGGAAGATAAAAGATCGCGCCCGAGTGTACAGTAACATCACAAAGCGGTGTTTCCTCTGTACCAGAGAAAAGTACCACATCGGACGTCGGAGGCCATGTCCATTGCCGGACGTCCATCTCGAAAAAGAATTCCATCTTCGTCTCAATGCTACACTGCGACTCGTCGTAGAGTCGTAGAGTCTACAGAGTCGTCGTAAAAGTCACGCGATCATTGAAATAAATTATTTTTTGCGGGCAATATCGCATATTATTTCCCGCGGCGCGAAAGGTGCTGATTCGCTGGAGTACAGGCAACAATCACGTGCCATGTGACAATATACATATACTCTGCGCTAACATCACACTGCTAGCTCGGTCATTACCTCTACAGCCTCCTGCCTACAACATCCATGCACCTTGCTCACAACCGCCTGCCAGGCCATCCACACATTCTGCGCTACCATTGCACTGCTAGCCATGTCACTGCCTCTAGAGCCCCCTGCCTATAACAACCACACACTCTCCTCGCAGCCTCCTGTCGCAGCCTCCTGTCTAAAGGGTTATAACACCGCTAGCCTTGAAACCTATACAGCCCCCCACATTCACACACAGCCTTTTTCACACAGCGCTACGCGACCCACCCTCTCCTGGCATATATACCGGCATGACCAGTGCCATCCTCATGTTGCGTGATGATTGCGAAAGCAGGAAACTTTAAGTAGCAGCAAACAAGCCTTGATTGCCCCTGTTGTTCTGTACCCTGTGCCGAGATGTTCCTCTCTTGAGTGGGTAGATCTGGACAAATGGAAAAGTGGAGTACAATTTCTGAACCCTGACTAGAATTCGGAGACAGAGTACGGTATGCGTATATACATGTACAATGCAGCAAGGCCGGCGCCTCCGGTTACGTACACAGCCGGCGCCTCCGGTTACGTACACATTTTGTCGAATGTCAATATCCACAACTGTACATTGATTTCCATACAGTCATTATATCAATGTAGTGCTCTCTATTTTGAATTCACTGTTGATTCAGAAAACCAAATGGTCGGTAACATGGCTGGAGTGTCGGTTGCCCTTTCCAATCCCTACAATGGCATATTGACAATGACCGTCGGTCAGCCAATTCCTGGTACAGTTAATGTGGGAAACATTCGTCGTCAGGATTTCACATTGAAATCATTCAGTGGTCGTGAAACTCAATCAATGCTTCTTGAATCCGATACTGTGTATTATGTCTATGTGTCGAGATACCAGATTTTCCCTCCGGCCCTTTCACCCCCATCACCTCCACTTGAAATAAGGACCCCGCTCATTGCTGGTACATGTGAACTTGGATGCATGGATCCCTGAGCAGAAAATCCTCAATGCTGTGCTCGTTGCAAACGTGATCCAGAATAACCATCCGTTGTCGACTTGGGAAATTATTTCAATCTCCACGCACACACATACCGAATGTATGACCATGATTTCGTTACACCACTCTGCTTCATTCTTTTCCTTGTTTCAGTTTTCCTATTTTTTTGTGTTCTCTAACAGCATTTGCGCTCTTGTGTCGAGAAGTCGATTGTGTGTTTCTTTTGCAATCCTTCCCATCTCTTTCACTTCTTTTCATCCAGAGTGAATATTGCTTGTATGTTAGCCAAGTTTAGGACCTATCAGCTCTGGCATGTACTTTTTTTGCCTAGCCTTTATGCGAATGCATAGTAATATCTGCTTTCACGTAAATTCTTGTGCAATTTCCCAGAGCACTTTTCATCGAGAGAATTTCCAGGAGCACTTTTCATCAAGAGGATTGATTGATCGATAATAGTGTGGGATACACCGATTTAATAATAGTGGTTAACCCACATGCATGCACCTGCCACCGCACACCCAGGTGTGCGTGCACACACCCGCTAGGCCTTGTGGCCAAGCATAATAATATTATGTATACACACGCATACACACGCGTGTATTCCACATTGCAATATGCTTGTAAAACTTGCTCGCACCAGCACACCAAGCATAGAACCTAGTTGTGGGGGTTTGCCATTATCTTTTTTTCTTCACATTTGTCACTCTTTGAAATATCACCAATGACAGCAAATTGCTGTGTTAGCAAGAGCCATTGGCATTGGGCACAACAAGCCAACGCATGGCTCATAATTTGTATCGCCTCATAACGCGCACAGCACGGCAATTTGTAACAAGCACAATTGGCAAATATGTCACCTGGCAACAGCAAACGGGTACATCGTTACAAACATGGTGCCCGGCAGACTCAACGGGAACGCACCAATCCAAACACGGCCCCGGCAACAGCAAACGGGTACGCCGTTACAAACATGGTGCCCCGGCAACAGGAAACGGGAACGCACCAGTACAAACACGGCCCCGGCAACAGGAAACGGGTACGCCGTTACATACATGGTGCCCCGGCAACAGCAAACGGGAACGCACCAGTACAAACACGGCCCCGACAACAGCAAACGGGTACGCCGTTACAAACATGGTGTCCCGGCAACCACAAACGGGAACGCACCAATACAAGCTGGCCTGGCAACTTCAAACAGGCACAACTGACAAACTACGGTACCCAGCAACAGCAAATGGGTACACTGTTACAACATCAGTCCATCACATCAAGATGCTGTCCCCGGGGAAAATTGCGGAAAAAAATCGCAAAAAACGCGGGAGAAAACGCGGCATAATATGGCATAATTTGCGGTGAATTTGCGGTAAATATGCGGTGAATGCGGCAATTTTCAGTGAGTATGTAGTGAAATCAATCAGTTACAAGTCTCTGGTGTAATAACTCGTCATATTTGAGTAAAAAGCCGCCACGATGAGACGTTGCTGACCGAACAGTGCACTGTGTGTACGTGTAGTGCAACAAAATAGTTCAAAAAACGCGGGAAAATCGCGGAAAACGCGGTCTTTCAAAAAATCGCAAAAAACGCGGCCGCGGAATCGCAATTTTCCCCGGGGACAGAAGATGCCGCTGCCACAACATTGCAGCAGCAAAACAGCAGACATGTATACGTGGCCCTCCCCGCACAGGAAGTGATTGCAAAAGGGAGGGAGGGAGGGAGGGAGAGAAATTACCAGCCTGACACGGAAAGCACTTCTTGTCCAAAGGAAAAGACAACCAAATTGCAGTCGACTAGCTACTGCAGCGCACATAAAGGCAACAGTAGCAGCAGTGCAAAAATGCAAATTACAGACCATATTCGGCACAGAATAATAATTAATGATATGCATCATGAGACCATCACTGCGCATGTGCCCACGTGGGCTAACTTGGCTTTGATACTCAAAGCCGGCATTTTGCATGCCTGCAAAGTATCCAGATTTTTTCGGGATTATCCCGCAATTTTGGATGAACTCCCGCGATCCGGAAATTCCTGTCGATTATCCCGAAATTTACTGTACAAGAAACAAGCTTAATATTGTACTTGGAGCACTTCAAATGACTTGTCACAGGCCAGTAGTTGTCCTTATTGATTTCGGACCGCCATAGCATGCAGTACCAGTGGATCTACTGGTGCCCGCTAGGTCGGACGGTGCGTTGACCCTAGGGTCCAGCGGATTCTGCCGGCAGAAAAATTGGCAGAATTCGGTACTTTTTCTGGTAAGTTCCATGCATGTTTGGTATGTGGATAAAGAAAAGGAGCAGAATTCGAGGAATTGTCCGCCATAAAGTTTGTAGGGTTCTGCCAATTTTACTGCTTTTCCAGCAGAATCTGCCACCTTTTCGAGCAGAATCCGCCGGTCCCTAGCACTTGACCCCGTTGAACTTTTGCTACTGCAGTACAACGCCCTCTACAAAAAGAGCTCTTGCGCTAGTCGTCATGCATGTACAGATGTAGGTAGGGGGGGGGGGGGAGGGGGGAGGGGGGGGGGGGGGCCCACTGTGACGAATTCCCCTGTTATTTTGCACAGAACCAATATACGTCATGTACATTTATTTATTTATTTCTGCACCTCGTGGCATGGTCAAGACAGCCAATTGAATTGAGGAGAGGGTGAGACCAACCACGGAAGAAGAGAAAAAAAGAAAATGAAGAGCACGTACACAAAGTGGGAAGGGATTAGCAACTTAAAAAGCAATGGGATGCTCAGCGAGCTATGCAGCGGAAGTGGTGACTGTAACTTTGTTTACTGGGAGCATTAGCAGCATACGTGTATGTGAGCATAATATTATAACTTTTAGCATAAAAATTGCATAATTCTGCATTTTTTCACCAATGCGAAAAGCATAATTTCACAAAAATATTAGCATAATCCGTCAAGGCCTAACGTACCCAAGGCCAGGCCTTGGCACAATTAAATTTCGAATACTTTGCAGATTCTAATAAAAAAACCACTCATATTGGCCGAGTCATAAAAGCTTGTGGCGAGCCATTTACTGAAATTCTGCTCCTCTTCGTAAATCCATAAACCAAGTATGCATGTTTATGATGATGCACACCAGAAAAACAACAAAATTTTATGCTGCTGCATGTGTGAGGCCATCATCACGGTCGTCCTCGGTGAAAATTCGGATGAAACGAGTCGTGTGTGGTGTATGATGGTGTACCATATTTCTGTCCCTCCAGGAAATCGCGATTCCACGGATGCAAAAAAATTCGCGATTTTGGCCCAAACGCGCGGTATCCCGACGGTTCACCGAAAACGGGTTCACAGAACGACCATTCACAGAACGACGTTTCACCGAAAGACATTTCACAGAGTGTGAGATTTAGCGACTGTTCATTTCGCCGAAAATCAGGTTCACAGAAAACAGGTTCATCGAGAGCATGTTCACCGAATATCGGTTCACAGAATAGCAGTTCTGCCGAATAGCAGCTTCACCGAAAAAAGGTCGCTGATGACATCGATATAATTATATCGCATTCGAATCCTCTAAAGAATAGCAGTTTCACCACATAACAGTTTCACCGAAAACATGCCACCCAGCGACTCTGATATACATCGAATTTGAGTCCTTTTACTTGTGAAACAAGCCCTTGCTTTCATTCCGCTGGGAGACGTTGCGCATTACTTTTAGTCACTGGAAGCCGACTTTCCTCCCGAGGCGGAGGAAGTATAAAACGTACTTTGAAACTTACTACATAGGCAGTCTAAGAGCTAATGGGACCAGAAAAATGCCTTTGTTCCGGCATGAGTGGTGGAACGCGCACACAAGAACGGCTAATGGAGAACACAGAACGAACAACATCCAGGAAGGTTGGCATCGCCGATTTTCAGCTGAAGTAAACTGCCATCATCCGACATTGTGGAAGCTGATCGAGAACATAAGGAGCTAGCAACGAAGCACTGAAGAAAATCTGGAAAGAATGCATGCTGGGCAAGATGGGCCAACAAGGAAGGAGCGGTACAGGAAGGTTGATCAGCGCCTGCGCACTGCAGTGACCACATTTGAGCAATGCCCGCCACTGGAGTTTTTGCGTGGTATTGCCCATAATCTGGCTTTCTTTGTGGAGCCGTGATGTGATTATTTCCATCAAATTGCACCACAAGACTTAGTCTTCTTCTCCAGTGTTGTTTGGGATTTTATTTCATTGTGTTAGTTTTAGCCGATAAGAGAGGCTTGAGTACCTTTCACTACACATTTTATAAGCGGCCATGATTTTGGGTCAATTATAAGTAATTTTCGGTGAACTGTCCATTCGGTGAAAAAATGCGTCTGTGAACCGGGATTCGACGAAACAGAATTCTGTGAATGAAAATTCGGTGAATAGATATTTCGGTGAATGTGCAGTGGCGGTGAACTGTCATTCTGTGAAATGTCTTTCCGTGAAACGTCGTTCTGTGAATGGTCGTTCTGTGAACGCGTTTTCGGCGAACGGTCGTAGATCCCAAACGCGCGATTTTCAGCAAAATCCGCGATTTCCCGCGTTTTTTATTGTTTTCTGCACTATAATTATCTCATATTTTTATTTGAAACTCGGATGTTGAGCCAATAATAAGTGTAGAAAGGAAAAGGAAATATAGATACGAGTTGAGAGTAACTCTCCATCACTGGACCTGTGTACAAGGAAGTGAGATATGCGGATGCAGTTTTGAGAGCTCTGCATCCTTTTGTGGAAGTAGTCCCAAACCCGCACCTGGCCGCGGGGTCTTTCAACCCTGGAAATGGCTCTAAATGCTGATATGGACCTTGCCCTACTTGGTTATGACCAGCTACAAGAGCTTGGCCGAAAACACGGTATCAATGGCTGTGATGGATTTGCAAGGCCAGAACTGGTCTGCGCGCTTCGGAATGCCGGCATCGGATCCTCCTGGACTTCCGCCAGTAAGTGCCAAGTCGATGTCTTTGCAAGTCTTACCGAGCAAATTCTTCACCTGACCACGGAAGTATCATCATTAAATTCATTGAAAGCCGAAGTAATCTGTATCAAAAGCGAATTAGGTGAATTGCAGAAATCCAGAAAGCAATCGTATGCAGCTACTGCCCGCCCATCAACCTGCACCCAACCACAATGTACGCACACAGCAGACACACGCTCGCCAAATGCACATGTTGCACCGTACAGCACTATGGACCCTTACGCACATTCAACCAGAAAAGTCATGGGTGCACCGGATCAGCAGCAGACCATGCCTACGCGACCAAACCCCCAGCTTGATTTAGACTGGCAACAACAAGAAACCAGGCGCGAACGTCGTGCCCGTACTCAACAGGAACGCGACAGACAGGGCCCACTTTCACATGGCGCCAGCACCCCTGCAGAGATAGGGGAAGATCCAAAGAGTACGGAACCCGCACTTAGGCGCACTATCACCTCCAGCTACAAAAAAACCC